GTGTTCACTTGATGACCTTCTATTTTGTGGTTTGTTTCAGTCCTGATTTTTTGTTTATTAAACATAATTATTATTTGTGAATAATGCATTTTTCAAGATATTGTTTTTGTAAGCATCCTGTTGTCTTTGGGGGGTATTAGACAGTTTGCATTCTTCATTTTGCCATGAACTCGTTGATGGCATGCTTTTATACTTTCCTTGTTTTCATGTAGAATGAAGAAAATTATTATAGTATGATTTTAAAGAGGAAGAGTTACTTCAACAATATATGAAGTGAAGTTTGAATCATTTGTATAAGTTAATAAAAATTGTTAAATCAACCATTGCATTACTTTTGGTATATGGTGTCATTTTTAGTAGATTGTTTGTGTTAAAAATATTTCATGTTTAGCATATACATTGGCTGTGTATAATATATTGTTCACTCTCTTTATGTTACTTATCTTTTTATTTCCTAGACAGTATTTTGCCAAACAGATATTGAAGATGTGATTTTTGAAATCATAGTAACACAGTTTAAAGAGAAAGATAAGATTATTATTCCTTTTACATTAAATGTCAAAAGGCTTTCAGGAAAAGTAAGTTGTTTTTTCTGTATTTAGTGTATTATAAAGAACCTGTATAATAAAAAGTAAAAGTTATTTTATAAATATTTTATAAATATCTGATGAGAAAGTAAAACAGAAGATTAATTTTTAATTAATTTTGTTATGATATTTGAAAATTTTTTATTGTTAAATTTAAGAAGGAGCTATAAGTGACCAAGAGGTTCAGATAATGGCATTTTTTTAAAAGATTTGAATTCATTGATAAAGGCAAAGTGAGTTGGCTAAATAGTATTTTAATAATTTAGCTCTAATTTATGTACAAACTAATTTCATTTTATTGACATCGTTTATTGTTTTTCAATAACTAATTACCTACCTACTGGTTTACAAGGGGGGGGGGAAGTAGACTGTAAAAAATTTCAGAACCTTTAACAGGATAGCATTCATTTTAGAGAAGAATATGGCAGTACAAAATAAAAAATGTCTACAAAAATAATTCAAATTTAGCCTTCTTGTTTAAGGGGCCGAAAGAAAAAATCAGTTACATACTTTGATTAAAAAAGTCATTTAAGGAGTCATTTCATTTCATGTTTTATGAAGATATATTAGTATTCTCAAATAAAAATAACCTACTTTTCAACTCTGCTGTCAATTTGAGAACTGGACTTCTCAATTCAATTTGAAAACTGAAATTGATTTATTATTTTTTAATTTAATGGCTTGTGTATATCAAAATGACATAATGTAACCTTTGACCAAATGGGCCATAAAAAATGCTAAATTTTGCTATATTTTAAATTCGGTCTGATCTTAGTGTTCATCATGAAATATTTCACTAAAGCAGTTGTTCCCAAACTATGCACTTAAGTGCCTTGTTTACTAAGGACCAGAAAACATTCCTATGTTTTTGTTAAAATATTGCAGTCCTCCATAGCATTGAAATCAGATTAGGAATATATGCTTTACTGGATCTGTAGCATCACAGAACAGAACTTGTATTGCCATATGGTAAAGTCCTGGTGCCTGTATGCTTATTCCTGTCTCTCATTATGAAATTATGTAAAACTAAGTAGTGTAATAATATATACAACTGTGAAATCCAGACATCCAAAATCTGGAATGATCTGATATGCAAACCTGCCGATCGGTAACAGCATTTTTTTTTTTTTTTTTTTTTTTTTTTTTTAATTATAGAATTTTACTTGCGAAAAGGTTAATGCTTCACCTGTGTGCAGTAGACATTTTTGCATACTAAAGCCTGTAGAGTGTTCTGATTCTTTATTTTACATTTGGCACTAAATAAAACACCTCCAATGTAAGAAACATCTCAGCTTTGTTTACATCTAAAAAAGTAATAATATTAATGTTTATTCCTTATTTTACATGAACTTTATCATATAACCCTCATGCCAACTTAAAAATCATTTTTTAAAATTATTTGTTTTCTTTCATCACCATATGACTGTCGACTAATGGCAACCAGAGAAAAGAATCATGTAGTGATGTACAATACAAGTTTTGTTTTAAGTACAGTCAAAAGTCGTTAATCCGGACAACCATAACCCCGAATGATCTATAATCCAACCGTCAAAGCTACAACTTTCTGCGCATGCGTCAACGCATAATGCGTTCACGCATACGCGTAATACTTTTGCGCATGTGCACATGCGCATAACACGTTTACGCATGCGCGTTTAATGTATACGGATGGTATAAGCTAAGCTAAAATTATTTAATTATCTATTTGAGTTAATGTTGCAGATTGCCTTGTTCCTTAATCTTCGAATTGGATTCGGCTTATTATTTTTGCAGCTGGTTAGAGCATTTTATAAAAGTAGCTTGACTTTCGATTAAGTCAAAAGATTTCCGATTCTGGAGTGCAAAGGATCTACAAAGCAAGTTTTTGTGTCATCAAACAAAAAGTGGAATTGCTGCAAAAATGGATAAAGGCAATCCTTTGCTTCTAACCATTCAAAATGTTTATCAATTCCCGGCTCTGGGGGGAGACGCGGCGTGCAATGAATGGAGTTGATTTGTCAGCACTATCCTATCTTCAGGGCAGATTTTTTATTTTATCAGTTTATAATTCTTACTAAATGTTATTTCAACTCGATGTACTCCGTCTTTATAGATTTAATCAAATTCCTCGTCATTATAATATCACGAATACATCAATAGTTTTTCTGGTTGCAATTTTCTAATTCGACTATGCGTAATGTATGCTTTCGCATGCGCGTTGAAAGAAATGTTTAATAAAGTAAACAATCTATTAAACTTTTTTTTGTAAATTTTGATATCCTTTAGATATAATTGCTCTTTATTTCATAAATTTGGTTTCATATTTTTTATTTTAAATCTGCATGCAAAGCTAAAATTAAACTGATGATCTATAAATGAATCGCCAAGTCGACGGTCTGGATTAATGCTCCTTACAAATTTTTTGAAAAAAATTGTAAAAAATCATCACATTTTTTTATTTTTTATTAAATACAACAAACGAAACAAATCAAAATTGTAGGTTTTAATTTAATTTAATTTTTGAACTGTTAAGCATTATTTTTATATTAGTTTACTATCTGAGTTACCTCGGCAACGAAAAAAGGTAAATAATCTTGTATGATAGTTTTGACAAGGGACAACCGATTGACCTGATGTCTACATGTATTGGTCTCTTTTCTTACTGGCTACGCTGGAATCTCTTTCACGGACACAAGTACACGTCCGTTGGATTTATTTTTTTTTTTTTTTCCCTTAGTTTTCATATTACTATCTGAAAATCATCGCTTTCGTATCTTCCATATCGCATTATTTTATTTTTCCACGCATGATCCTTCTTATCATTACTACTCCAAGCCAACGTTACTATACAATAGGGAAACCGACAGTCCTCCAAAAGAACCGCGCAACAACAAATTTGGCAAACTGCCATCAGCTATATTCCTTTTATTTCCTCCAGACCGAGTAAAACCGTGATAAAAGAAATTGTACTAACAAATTCTGCTTCCCCCGAGTTTTCTCGGGATAATAATTAACTGCAATATATACGAACCCGAGGTAACTCGGGATAATCAGGCAAGCGGTTAAAGACTTTTGACTGTATATGCAATTGAATGTTAAACAGCATAGTACTGGCACTGAGCTTGGCAACAATTACAGATTTCAGCAAACTTTAAGTGTTATAAATTATTTATGATTGAAAAAAAGTCCCACCGAAATGTATGGGAGGCACATAATGAAAACGTACTGCTTTAAGAACATATGGAAATTTATTTTAATAAAATTTAGATAAACCTCAATAAAAAAGTGAATGTTTTAAATTAATGGAATTTGTGGAGAAGTGAAGGTGATATAACAGAAGTATTCTGTTGTGATGACAGTGACACAATAATAGTCAATCAATGGGTGGCAAAATCTGTAGTATGGTTCCAAATTTAGAAAATATTGCTACCAATAGTGAAGAAAATGACAGTTTATTGAGAATGAAGAAATTTCAGTTGATAATTTAGTGGAAATTCTTGACATGGTAATTACAGGACTTTGTAACTCAACAAGAAATTTTGTCTGTCTATAAAATCTAAAGAAAGGGTTGTAATGTTCCCCTTCTCTAAGGAACACTTGGTCACACGCCGTAAAAGAAGGGACAGAGCCTCGGCCTCTTCTAGCCTCGGCCAAAAGAGAGAAGCGGACTTTCCCCCTGGTCGCAGGTGGGAGTAAGAAGAGATGGAGATGTGGAAGAGAAAAGAGCGGACCCAGGCTTGCACGCTCTACTGTAGTGAAAATGTATTTGAAAGTTTTTCTGAAATGTAATTTGTGCATAGTTGTATATATAAGTAAATATTTAGAACAGGCCTTGTTTATTTAACAATGTTACGACTATGGTACAACTGGTGCCAGCAGTGGTGGGATTTTAAAATGCCCACTAGTCAAATGAAGAAGTGATGTTTGAATTCGACACAGTTTAGTAGAATCATCCTGATTCTATGAGGTTTGCAGTTTTGACTGATCATCTTGATTCACTGAAGTTTTAACAGCACCCACGTGATTCTGTGCTATTTATAAATCAGCTCAAGTTGACAGAACGAAAATCATCCTGATTTTCCCATCGTGGGAATCATCCTGATTCCAGTTTCTTCATTTGATCTAAGTAATAGTTAAGAGAACTGCCACAATTCTGCACAACGAGTTTTCTTCATCAAAAATCATCCTAATTTTTACATTGTTGGAATCATGCCAATTCCAGTTTTCTTTGCAAGGTTATCATCTAAGACTTAAATGATAATCTTCAGCAACCAAATATTTACTTTAGATTTCTATAGCCCAGAGTTTCTTAATCACAGAACCAGTTAATTCATTTTTAAAGTATTTATAAAGTTGTATTTATAAAGTACATTTTCATATTCATTTTTAAAGTTCATTTAGCATAAAAGAATCAATTTGGCAGATTTTCTTATTTCTTTCAATGCATATATGTGCATAATAAGATAATTTTTATGAAAAATTGTTAGTTGCTTGCATTAGAAAAGGTTTATAAAGAAATATGTAAGTTTTAGTTCCAATTGTGTACTGTGAACTTTTCCCCTGCTACATATTTATATAGGGACCATAGGAATGTGTGAAAAGTTAGATTTTTGTATTTTATATAAAATGAATTTTTTAAATTGAAAATTACAAAAACATGAATCTTTGCATCAGTTGAAACATTTTTGTGACTGGAAGTATATGTCTGTGACCAACTGTTGCAAAAATAAAGGCCAAGTCACGGCTTTATAATATACACAGTGTATAATGTTGCTGGGTTTTGAATTTGTATAGATTAAATTTATATGTATATATGTATATTTTTATGTAATATATGAAGGAATGCATTTTCTGTGACTGTCTGAATCTTCATGGAGTATATTTTATTGTGCTATTTTATGTTTCATTAGCTGTTATCAATTCAAGAATGTATAATAATACCAGTGCTTAGTTTTTTATAGTATGTTTCTTCATTTTTAGATGAATGTTGAATGTTGTCCTGAAGATTTAACATTTATAGCCCGCTATTCTGAAGCACCTCAGGTTGAACTGTCCACTGACGCAGTTAATAACAGTATTGTATGTTTTATTCAATACTACACAATTATTTTTTAATTTTAAAAAATGTTCAGCAAAACTCTCTGCATGCATTGTTTCCTTAAATAATGATTCCTAGATGTGTATTTACCATTATAATGAGAACATTTTCACCAGTGGATTTGGAAACTTTATAAAGATAGAATATAGCTTTTTATATGGTCTCAGTAAATCAAATTCAATTTAGTGAAATGCTCTTTAAGCTTAATTAAATTGAGCACGGAATATTCTATATCAGTGGTCTCAAACTGAAATTGCATGCAGGTTGAATGCACGATCTAAAAGCAGTTAGTGGGCTGCTCTCTCCCACCCCAAATCAGAGTGAATATTCACTCTCATTTTGTTTAAAATTTAATGGTATTTAGATTTATAGCCTTGAAATTTCTACTTTGTACCCTATTTGTTGTAATTTGAGAAAGATTACTGGAAACTACCTTCATCACAGATTGTAGATCCTCATCAGTCAATCAAATTCTTTTTTCAGACTTATTCGCTTTCAACTTTAAAAAAAGAAAGAAAAACTACAATGTTCTCATAAAACTGCACTCCCAAAGTGAGTGATTGTTCATATTGAAAAAGTTTATAACAAAGGGTATTTATCTTTTGACAAGTACAAATAAAAGTTAATCAGATCTGTATTCTCAAGTTTTTGAATAGCATTTGTATCACACTGTTGAATTAATTATCTCCATTTGTAGATTTCTCGTGCATTGTTCACATTCATTTTAATGGTAATAAAGATAATGTAAAATTAGACTACAATTCGTTAAAATTATAGTATCTTTCTCTGAATTCTTGTTGTAATAATGCTATTTTTCATGCATATTTTTTAGATTTTTCATTTGAAACAGTAGGGCAGGATATAAGTTGTCAAAATTATACAAATTATTTTGATTGAAATTGTTTTTCTCATAACTTCAGTTTAACTATGAAAAGTTCAGTGCAAGCATACATGTTCATTTTGCATCATGAAAATGTTTATTTAATTTATTAAGTAAAAGGAAAAAAAACTATTTAAAAACAACTCCTTGACATAATTATGTCACCTTGTTATATTAAACAATTCCTCTATACTTGCTTTAATTTTCTTCAAGCAGTGCAACAACTCCATAATTCAGAGCTCATCTGTGAATAAAATTTACAATTTTAGGTATTGTTTCAATAACCTTATGCATCTGCAAACTTTTGACATCATATTTACAACAAATGCGTAACTAAAATGTATTTGTGGGTTGCATAAAACTCTTCATGACCGTATGTGGTCCACGCTAGTTTGAGATCGCTGCTCTATATCTTGAAGCGCAAAAATTTATGAAAATATTTTAGAGTTACTATTTACATTGTGATAAGTCATATAGAACAGTTTTTTTTTTTTCCCCCCAGATTCAAAGCTGCTTGTTTTAACAGTTATCCTTTCTGTGTTGGGTAAAATAGCATTCATCTTTAACTTTGTAGCCAACAGCATGATATTATTAATTACAAATTCTACTTTGTTAAACGTGTGACTGTGACCCAAATTAATTGGTAGGCGTTAATATATTAAATCCTATGATTTAATATATTTAACGTCTACCAATTAGGTGCTTTGTTAGTAGCACTCTGGATTTAAAATCTAAAATCTGTTTACAGCCAAAGTATTTCAATTTTACAAGCCTGTTAAATTTTATATAACCCCCAGTCATTTATAAGGGGATTTTCATCTGTTAAGACATTATCTTGGATCATCAGTTGTATATAATCCCAAAAAAACAAAAGAAAATCTTAATGACTTTTCTAAAAGAGTCAGGTTAGTTTTAAAGTTTAAAAAAACTTTAAAAGGTACTAGAGGACAGTGCACTGGATAAAATAGTAGAATTAAACAGTATACTTAATAAACTGTATTAAGTCCAGTGTAATGAAGCCATGAGAAAGTTTCAATAAATATATTTTTTTCCGTTTTAAATTTTGTTCTACCTTTGGCATCATTTTTTGGGGGGAGGGGATGCAGTCTGGTCTCAGGCTATTTTGGCATATTAACATTAAAACATTTCATATTAATTTAAAAAGTGAATATTTTACTGGTAATATATTGAGAGTTAAATGTTATGTTTACATAAATCTGTACTTTTCTTGTTTAGAATTTTCGTATGAACTTCCCATCCTTATTTTCATGAAACTTTGTAATTTCAAGTGCATACCTAGGATCAGTATTTAAGGAAGTAAAACATGTAGCCACCCTTCTCTAACACTGTATATGTATTTTTCATTCTTTTAAGCAGATTTTTAAAATTTATAATTACTTTTTGTGTTACAGGCAGCTCAGGAAGATTATCAGGCATTATGTGATTTAGTTAGTGAAATAACCACTGAAGCTTTACTGTCGTCAATCATAAATTTAAGATTTACTTGTTATCCTGAGTGTCCTCGACTTTCAATAAAACCATCTGCTTCTGATAAAGTGGTAAGTTTAATTATGAAGACATACAGTATACAAAGATTAAATAATGGATAAACCACATACATAATCTATTGCTCAAATTCTATCTTATATTACTTCTTTTAAATTGCTGTAGTATACTCTCTTGCTGTATAGTACAATTTAAAATTTTTGCTGCTGTTTTAAATTATAATGTATCTGCATAATAATCCACCCACCAATCTGAAACCTCTGGTTGGAAGCATACCAGGAAAATTCAGTTCCTATTTTAGAGGCGAAAGGAATTTTTCTAAAATTTGTCCTTTCATGTAAACATTGTGTATTTTCTGATTATCCACAGTGCCCTTCTCAAAAAGTCCGTAGTCACTGCCAACAAATTTTTTGCCAAGCTAAGACACAATAGACAACAGCCATTTTCGAAAATGAAGACAGTAATATTTACACACACTATCCAATATTGAAAATGCAACATCAAGTAGGAGTGGCTGAAAAGTTAAGAAAATTTCAGGGTAGATGCATGTCAAACAAATGATGTGAAATGTGCAACTCTCCAGCTCATGTTGAAGATATAAGGGAAGGAACCAGCAGGATGTTCAATTTTGATGCCGTTATTTCTGCTTGGGAAATCGTCGTAGAAAATTTTTTCTTGTCTCAGGATGTGTGTAATAACAGAGATTGCCAGGCCATAGTCAACAGAAACACTTCTAGCAGACAAGACGATTTCATGAGGGGCATAGTCATCAGCCTAAGAAGGGCAGGTTGGTCCATATGGCAGAATCCCAGCTGATACACACCTGGATGCATCCAAAGTGCACCTGCTGTGGCGGTTCGAACAAGGAAATGTGGCAAGTTCGAGGAGTGCTGGTGCAGTCAGAGGGACGTCAGTACACGCGGATCGACGCATCCGCAGACATGCGATGGTGCACCCGCAAGTCACTTCCACCTCCATTCTGTAGCATGTTCAAAACATCCTGAATGTTTCCATATTGACAAGAACCATTTGCTGTCAACTGGTGGTTAGTGACCTGCACTCGTGGCATCCATTAAGAAAACTGCCATTGACACCCACTTCATAGACGCCAACGTCTGCAATAGTGCCATCTCGAGCGATGTGGATGACAGAATGGCATAGTGTCATGTTCTCAGATAGGTAATGCTTCCAGTCATGATGTACGAGTGTGATGTCGACATGGAAACAGGTCCAATCCGGCAGCAATTGTAGAATGCCCCACAGTGCGACAACCCGGCACCGTGGTTTAGGACGCAATTGCGTACGATTCCAAGTCACCTCTAGTTCATGTTTAGGGCATTATGATGGCCCAATGCCCTTTATCAGCAGGATAACACCCAACCACACACTGTTCTTATTAGCCAACATGCTCTGCAAGGTGTGCAGATGTCTCCCTTTCCACCATTCTCTCCTGATCTCTCACCAATCGAACACATTTGGAATGTGATTGGACGCCATTTGCAGATGTTGCCATTGCCACGTTTAAAAGATGAACTGTAGAACTGTAGTAATCCTTTACTGTGTGGCCTATGAATGTAACATGTTAATTGCAAATGTATTAATTGAATATGTGATGATTGTAAATAATTCATTAAATAAGTTTTCAACTTCTCACTCATTATTTAAAATCTTTATAAGATTTAGTTAATTTCTGTATTTGCTGAAAGTAACTTTTTTTTTTTTTTATTTTGTCAAAAAATGTTTTTTTATTATGTCAAACATTTCTTTGTTAAAATTTTTTTTTATTTTAAATTAGGGCAAACGAATTCTATTCATTTCTTTTCTATTTATTTAATGCATTATATGAAGCTCTTCAATAATTGCTTTATGTTCATTGGCAGTTTATTCTTTTTTCATGGTTATTAGTTCTTCTGTAACAGAAATTATTGATGTTGGTCATGTACAACTGCACAAAAAAAAAAAGGGAGGACAATTCTATATATCCCATTCTGCTGGGCAAGTTGACGAAATTCAACGTGCATTTTTCATGTCTCGAAAGCGCGACTTGGAATATATATTAGATTTATATATAGCATTGTTCTGATATAGGTATTTTGACACAAAAACGGACTTTTTCGGAAATGGCATGCCAATTTTTTTCCATATATCGATTCTACAACTGAAATTATGCCAAACTGTCAAGTTTTCTAAAAATCACACGAGTAGTTTTTAAAAAATTAACTCTCAAAATTTTAGCTCGTCAATGTTAATTGAATTTGGTATATGTTTATTAATCTTTCTTTTTTTATTAAACTTATTTTATTCTTCCTTTCACATTTCGAAACTGAGGTTCATACCAAATAAAATTTGACCATTTTTTCATGATTTAGTTTTTAAATTTGTATTTTAAAATAATTTTTATAAATTTCTTGAATTATAATCTATAAAAGTTTTACCAGTACCTTAAGGTAGATGTTTTTTTTAACCATACCTGCAAAAAAAATTAGAGTTTTTTATTCAAAATTTCCAAAGATATACGTGAAGTTATATATTGGCATGTTTCAGAATTTGGCATATTTGTTGAAAGCGATAATAACGTCAAATGCGGTTTAGGCACTTTGTTAAAATTATTTGAACGTAAGAATGCTGTGACTTTTTTTCTGCTCATGCACAATGTAAAAAAAAAAGAAAGGAAAATTTGTTGCCATGTATTAAGAATATCACCAAGTGAATTAATGATTCTTGCCGCAAATTGAAAAAATGTGCCAAGGCAAATTTTTGAATTTCTCTATAAATTCTGCATGAAATTTTTACAAAATTTAATATTTAGGCATAATTTGAGTCGTAGGATCGAAATATGGAAAAAAATTGGCATTTCATATCAGAAAAATATGATTTTGTATCAAAATACCTATATTTGAACAATATATTTAAATCTAATATATATCCGAATTCGCGCTTTCGAGGCGTGAAAAACGCAATTCAAATTTTGTCAATCAGCCCAGTAGAACAGAAAATATAGAATTGTCCTCCTTCTCCCCCCCCCCTTTTTTTTTTTTTTTTTTTTTTTTTGCAATGTACATACTCATTGGTGGGAGTGAGAGTTTTGATATCATTTTCATGTCTGAGATCTGTAGAATATTATGTTTTCTTTTTGGTAAATAATTGAAACATTATTTCAATAAGAACTATTAAAATGATTGTGAAGTTTTCAATACATGATGCCAAAATTTACTGAACTAGAGCCTCAAATTATATCTTGAATTTGAAAATTTCATAGCAATAAAATTCTAACATTATGTAGGCCATATTTTAATAATCATATCAGCTTAAGTTTCATTATTTTCTTTCCCTGTGGAGAAGTAGTATTGAATTTTTGTTTAATGATGTAGTGACCAAATGGGTTATTATTTTGCCATATATCTTATGCGTTAATTCAAAGAATTTTTCTGTTTTTGTTATTTAATGCCTTTATTTGTGGTCAACTAACTGCATAGCTACTGAAGCTAATGTTACTCTTAACTTTGTTCTTGTATTCATTAACTTATTTGAAAATTTTAGAGTAGAATTTGGACTAACTTCAATCATATCATTTCATTAAAAAAGCTAGGCTGTCTGGAACACTCGGGAATTGTCAGATACTAGATACACAAAAGTTCTGAATAGTTGAATGCATAAAAAATGCAGTCCGTTGTAGATAAGCCAAATGAGTGAAAGATATAGCCATTCAAAATTTTAAAAGCAATCATCTTGTTTATTATTAACTTGAATATAACAGCCTACATTTAGAATTTTGTGAAATTTCAGGGGAAAATGCATTTTGGACACAAAAGCCAACATATTTCATAGGCTATAAACACAAGAAAGCAAAAACATCTTTCAATGTGTGTAAATGTCACCAGATTTACACCAGTGATTCTGGCAGAAGTTTAAAGGAACAGATTGTTCCTTATTTAGATAAACAACAAGCACATCTTACAGAAATAGCATATAAAAAACTTTAATTGGCTATCATAATTTTCATGTTGCATTGCCACTGTTTATTGGTTTTCAAAATAAAGTTGGCTTTCATGCTATTCACACATTTCCAAATGCGGGAATTCCACAGTTTTGAAAATACTCCTCTGCATGCTGCTCCACAGAAAGCAGGTGCCAAATTTCAGTCATTTTTTAAATGGTTTGGTTTATTTCCATACATTTGAGGGCTTATCTGCCTAAAGGAAGAGATGCCTTCATGGAGGGCTTTCTAAGCGAAACTGGCTCATATACCCGTTACATAAATGGTTTTCTCCACGAAAATGCCCAGGCAGTCAGCCCATTCTCAGGATTCGAACCTTGCACCGAACTACCAGCGTTCAGCAATTTTACCACTCGGATGCTGGTGGGCTTTTTTTAAATGTGAAGGATAAACAGATATGCAGTAGTTAACAATATATAGATATACAATCTTTCTTACAAAACATAAAGTGGCTTATTCAAATTAATCAAGTTTATATAAAATCAAAATTAAGATCTTATAACTGTGATATCACCCTTATCTATTATAGGTGCTAAATCACACTATTTAATGAAAATGACTTATTTTGCATGCCTTGTAATGACTGTACAGTTTTTTTATTTGTTTATTTTGGGAGGGGGTAAAATTTCTAAAATGCTAAAAATTCTTGCTTCTTGAGCTTTCTGATTAGTTAAATACCATTTAGTCAGCTTTTACTGTGTATGAATTATTATCATTTCTAAATTTGCATCTAGCACTTCAAATATTCTGAAAAACTATTGACTAAATGGTCAATAGTTTTTCAATAACGATAGTTTCGAGTCGCGATAAAATTGAATGAAATATATTTTATTAAGTAAATGTAAGGGTCAGTTTTTATAAATTAAACTAATTTGAAAACTGCAGTAGTTAAGATTATGTAAAGCTTTCTTTTATTAAAAACATTATTATAAATTTTCTAATGTAATACTTTTGTAGTTGAGATGCATTTTATACTTAATAAATTATTAATTATGCATTTACAAATAGTAGTATTAATTGTTTTCAGTATGAAGCAGATGAAAATGAAAGTGGAGAACAGTTACTGGTTAAAATAATAAAAGCTGCAAATATTGGAGGTAATAAAGGTAATGATTTTAAAATGCCTTTTATAATACATTTGATTGGTTTCAGTTTTTTTTTTTTTTTTTTTTTTTTTTTATGTTAAAAATGTATTAGGAAGCATGAAATTTCATATCAACCATTTTGACATTATATTGCTTTTCGTCTCAGTCAGTATAAAAAAATTATCCAAAATATGCTATGAACACGTATCTAAACTGTAAAACACGTATCTAATACTGTAAAGTGATGGCTAAGTTTGGCAACATCTGCATATTTCAGTTAATTTTGTCAGAGGAATGTCATTTGGTTGCAGAAGAGTATTTAATGCATAAAGTCATCTTATTATTGCATTGATTGATTACAATAAGATATGAATAGAGTATTATAATAGTGCTGAATAAAGGGTAGCAAATATTTTTGATGTGATGTATAATGTGTCTGCTTATAGTTCTCAGCTATAGTTTTATATTAGTATCACAAAGTAGTTGGTAAGGTATAAAGGTATTCAGTATGGGCATTATTTCCTACTCTAGTTATAAAATTCCTCTATTGAATATTGTAGAATTTTAAAGAATAGTTTCAGTATTGAAGGAATGTGAAGGATTTTAGAAGACAAATTTAATTCTTTATATGATCCTGATAGGGCATAAAGCCTAAAATATTCATTATGCTAATACAAATAGTGGCTATAGCCGCTCCTGTGTATACATTGTTAATAATTAGTGCTGTGTTTTACCTAATATGGTTTTTGTAATCTCTATTTGTTTAGTAATTGCTCGCAGCAATTTGGGAAAACTTAGGAAACATTTTAGTTTGTTCAAAAATAGATATTAAAAAGTTGTTGAAATTAACAAATTTATTTTCATCTTGACAAATTTTGCACTTAAAGGTGTTGAATGTTTTGCATTTATTTTATTAAAACATAATGTATGCTATTTTAATTTCTCCTCCCTCCCTCTCTCTCTCTCTCTGGGACCATATAAAAAGATAAATTTGTGTTTTTAAACCATTCTACCTGCGGTACTAAGTGCTCCTATAAAATGGTCTGCTTTACATAAACTTCATAATTAGAGGGTATTTAAGTAATTAATCCAGTAGCCACTTTTCTAAACTGATATTAGTTTCTTTCTAGTATCAGTCTGTATCAAATGACTACATTAAATTGCAAAAACAAAGATCCTGATGATTTTATATTTTCCTTTGAAATTATAATTATTTGGCTACTTTAAATATTGCTGAAAATTAGCTAATGTTTTAACATGGTGTTTTTATATGTTCCTTAAAGCATTAGCGGGGCAGTTGAATGTACGTCTTAACTAAATACCATTTTATAATATATCAGCAGAGTTGCCAACTCTCCCAATTTAGGCGGGAGACTCCCGATTTTCAACTCCTTACCCGCCAACCCGATTTACAATATATTTCTTGCGACTTTTTCTTATTCTTAAAATTTCTCGTGATTTTTATGGAACTTGGCTTAATACTTCGTTACATGAACAAAAAAAAGTGATTTTGGACGTCTGAAAGCAATTGAATTTGCTCTAGTTTATATCTAAAACAAAACCTTGCAAATCAGATGAAAATTTCTGCTTTGTGAGTGAGAGCATACGTAGCCAGAAACGTCGTTCTCCAGTTCTCCAATGGGCATCGAGCTCCACTGTGTGTCATCTGGCATATATATCAGCAGAGTTGCCAACTCTCCCGATTTAGGCGGGAGACTCCCGATTTTCGACCGCTCTCCCGCCAACCCGATTTACAATATATTTCTCCCGACTTTTTCTTATTCTTAATATTTCTCACAATTTTTATGGAACTTGGCTTAATACTTCGTTATATGAACAAAAAAAAAAAGTGATTTTGGACGTCTGAAAGCAGCTGAATTTTCTCTAGATTATATCTAAAATGAAACCTTGCGAATCAGATGAGAATTTCTGCTTTGTGATTGACAGCATACGTATCCAGAAACGTCGTTCTCCAGTTGTTCAATGGGCATCGAGCTCCACTGCATGTCATCTGGCATATATTAGCCAATGAGCACAAAGCAAGCTCAAGGCCGTTGGCCGTTCTTTGGATGTTCTTTCGCTATTTCGTTCATCTTGTCCTGAGTTGTGTGAGTACACGTGCCTTTAGGAAATAGTTTTAGAAATTATCGTCTTTTGATATGTCTGCGAGAAAGGTGAAATACTCGTGCACGTTTTCAAAATCGTATACAGTTGACTTTCCTTCCATTATTTCTTCAAGGAAATGTAATAAAATTTGCGAGGTGTACCATCTGTTGTTGCGATTTTTCGATTTCGCTTGGTGGAAGGGCAGATGCTCTCAAACATGTGCGTACACAAAAATACAAGGACAACATGAGTTGTTTTGAAAAAACGAAAAATTAAATTTTTCTTCGGAAACAAAAGACCAAAAAGTGATTAATGCAGAATGTCTGTTCTCTGCCTTTTTACTGGAGCACAACCTGCCACTGAATGCATCGGATCACGCTGCAGCTTTATTTAGAAAAATGTTTCCCGATAGTGAAAATCGCTAAGAAATACTTCAAGTGCAAGGACCAAAACAGGTGCAATTGTTAAAGAAATGGGTTTGAAAAATAAATCTTCAGTTATTGATTGGCATTAAAACAGCTCCGTTTCTGCCATCTCTACAGATGGAAGCAATAATACCGATTCAAAAGTGTATCCAATTGTTGTTTCTTTTTTTAATCCAGAGTCTTCAGAAATTGAGTGAAGTTTACTTTCTGTCCCCACTTTAGAAGGACATTCTACAGGCTTTAATATAATATAGCACAGCCAATTATTAAAACTTTAAAAGAAAATGCAGTCTCTCTGGATTAATTGCTTAGCGCTTGATGCTGATAATGCACCAAACTGGTGTTGCAGGCATCTTAAGAAAGGCAAATTCAGATTTGCAGATTATGAGGTGCACCTGTCACCTCTTAAATTTAGCAGCTGAAAAAGGGGCAGATTCTTTACCATTAAATGTGGATGAACACATTGTTGATATTTATTATTATCTTGAAAGGAGTTCTAAAAGAAAGGAAAAATTGAAACAGTTCCAACAGCTGCATAATACTGAAATGAGAAAAATTTTAATTTTTTGTAATTTCTGCATCATTCAGCAATTCAACTGGCAGTTCTCAAAATAATACTGCAAAATATAAGCGTAAAGCTGATACAAATTTCTCTCAAAATAATAAAAAAAAAAAAATAATAATAATAATAATTGCGCAACACACGAAACATTTTCCGATTGCTGTAAGTTTATCTTGTGAAGAATGAATATTTATGTTTTTTTCTTCGTACCTGAACAAAGCTTTTTGCTTTTTTTTTTTTACAATTCATTTTGCCATCATTCGATGTTCTGAACACAATTATACAAAGCAGAATTCCATTAATTCATGTTTTGCAATCAATGATTTATGATCTGTTTAAAGACATTTTATCAAAGTTTGTAAAACCAGTCTGTGTTTTGTCTTGTAATTCTATATATGATGTGATTTATGGTGAAACAGAAAATCAGAAGGAAGATGAAGATTTGGTAATAGAGCTGCAACTACAAAAGTAGTGGAAGAACTTTCAGAAGAAGACAAAAATAAGTTTTATCTCATGTTAGAAGTTACTTCTGTCGGTATGTGATTACAAACTACATAAATTTCCAGTCAACGATGATGAGTGATTTTGCATACTAAAGTTGCTGATGTTTCTGCTCTAGCAAATGCATCTTTTTTGATATAAGGTACTTTTTGAACAAGATTTCCTTGTACTTCGTTTAGTCATGAAAGATGATGATATTGATGTTGCTATTGATATACTGCAGTCGCAATTTTGCAGTTTACAATTAGAAAACTTGGATGAAGTTATAAAATCAGCTAGGATTGACACCAGTGGAGGATAATTGGAAATTGAAAGGTGTTGATTGGAATTTTAAAATATAGTGAACTGTCTAGAATTATGCTAGCCATTTTGACAGTTCCCCATAGTAATACAGAATGTAAGAGGATTTTCAGTGTTGTTGCGAAAAGGAGGACTAAATTTAGATCTAATAGTGATGACCAGAGGCGTAGCTAAGGTTTTAAGCGCCCAGGGACACCTAAATATTTTGCGCCCCTTTCTGTGTTCCAAGAATAGAAAATAACATTTGTACATAACATAACATTTCATAACATTTGTACGAAAACTGGTTTAAAGTTTTTTTTGTTTGTTGTTTTCATAAATGATGCAAGTAATAAAAATGTTTTTTATGTGTAAGGTATTTTGTTTTGCTTTCATTTAAGACTAGTAAAAGTAATTTAAAGTTAAATTCATTATTAAAAATATATTTTTATCATTAAAAAGTCTTTTTTAACATTGTGAAAAATCTCCTGATTTTTGAGTGTCATAGGTTGGCAAGTATGTATCAGCCAATGAGCACAAAGCAAGCTCAAGGCTGTTATTTGTATGTTCTTTAATTATTTCGTTCATCTTATCCTGAGTTGTCTGAGTACACATGCCTTCTAGAAATAGTTTTAGAAATTATCATCCTTTGTTATGTCTGCGAGAAAGGTGAAATACTCGTGTGCGTTTAAAAAATCGTACACAGTTGATTTTCCTTCCATTATTTCCTCAAGCAAATGTAATAAGTTTACGATGTGTACCGTCTGTCATTGCGATTTTTCGATTTTGCATGGTGGAAGGGCGAATGTTCTCAAACATGTATATACACAAGGACAACATGAGTTGTTTCGAAAAAAATCAAAAATTAAATTTTTCTTCGTAAACAAAAGACCAAAAAGTTATTAATGCAGAGAATGTCTGTTTTCTGCCTTTTTACTGGAGCACAACCTGCCACTGAATGCATCAGATCACGCTGCAGCTTTAATTAGAAAAACATTTTCCGATAGTGAAATCGCTAAGAAATACTCAAGTGCAAGAGCCAAAACAGGTGCAATTATTAAAGAAATGGTTTTGAAAAATAAGTCTTCAGTTATTGATTGCATTAAAACAGCTCCGTTCTGCCTCTTTACGGATGGAAGCAATAATACCGATTCAAAAGTGTATCCAATTGTTGTTTCTTTTTTTAATCCAGAGTCTTCAGAAATTGAGTGAAGTTTACTTTCTGTCCCCACTTTAGAAGGACATTCTACAGGCTTTAATATAATATAGCACAGCCAATTATTAAAACTTTAAAAGAAAAATGCAGTCTTCTGGATAATTGCTTAGGCTTGATGCTGATAATGCACCAAACTGGTGTTGCAGGCATCTTAAGAAAGGCAAATTCAGATTTGCAGATTATGAGGTGCACCTGTCAGCTCTTTTTTTTTTTTTAGCAGCTGAAAAAGGGGCAGCTTCTTTACCAATAAATGTGGATGAACACATTGTTGATATTTATTATTATCTTGTAAGGAGTTCTAAAAGGAAGGGAAAATTGAAACAGTTCCAATAGCTGCATAATACTGAAATGAAAACATTTTGAAACATGTGTTTACGCTGGCTGTCTTTAAAGAAATGCTTATCTAGAATCCTCAATCAATGAAACCGACTTCTTGCATTTTTTAAAGAAGAAGTAAATGCTTCGAGAGTTAAGATAAAAGGCTCCATTGAAAGTTATAAAATACCTAAAGTAAAAAGAGATGTAGTTACTATTTCCATTGTTAAAAATAAAGTAATTTCTGCACCATTCAGCAATTCAACTGGCAGCTCTCAAAATAATACTGCAAAATATAAGAGTAAAGCTGAAACAAATTTCTCTCAAAAAAAAAAAAAAAAAAAAAAAAAAAAAAAAAAAATGCTCAACACAAGAAACATTTTCCGATTACTGTGAGTTTATCTTGTGAAGAACGAATATTTATGTTTTTCCTTCAGACCTTAACAAAGCTTTTTGCTATTTTTTACAATTCATTTTGCCATCATTCAATGTTCTTAATTTCTACAATTCTACAAAACAGAATTCCATTAATTCATGTTTGCATCAATGATTTATGATCTGTTAAAGACATTTTTCAAAGTTGTAAACCAGTCTGTGTGTCTTGAATTCTATATGTGATGTGATTTACGGTGAAATAGAAAATCAGAAGAAAAATGAAGATTGGAATAGGAGCTGCAACTACAAAAGTAGTGGAAGAACTTTCAGAAGACAAAAAATGCTTTATCTTATGTTAGAAGTTACTTTGTCGAGTTTGATTACATACAAAATTTCCAGTCAACGATGAAGGGATTTTGCATGCTAAAGTTGAGATGTTTCTGCTCTAGAAATCATCTTTTTTGATATAAGGTACTTTTTGAACAGATTTCCTGTTACTTCGTAGCATGAAAGATGATGATATTAATGTTTGACCGTTGATAATATTGCAGTCACAATTTTTTGCAAAACTGGATGAAGTTATAAATCAGCTAAGATTGACCCTAGGAGTTAATGGAAAACTGAAAGGTGCTGATGGATTTAAAATATAGTGAAATGTCTAGAATTATGTGGCCATCTTGACAGTTCCCCATGTATGCAGAGTGCGAGAGGATTTTCAGTGTGTTGCAAAAACAAGGACTAAATTAGATCTAATATTAGTGATGACACGTAGAAAAACTTTTATTAGCGAAAGCAGGCCTACATGGCAATGCTATGAACAAAATTATGAGTTTCTTTCTTAACGAAAGCAAAATCTGCCACTGTTCATAACATTTGTACTGAAACTAATTAAAGTGTTTATTATTATTATTATTATTATTTTATTTTTATTTTTATTATTATTATTTTATTTTTTCCCCCTTAAACGATGCAAGTAATAAAAATGTTTTTTCTGTGTAAGGTATTTTTATTTTGCTTGCATTTAAGAATTAGTAACTATTTAGTTAGTAACTATAAGTTAATTCATTATTAAAAACTATATTTTTATCATTTAAAAAGTCTTTTTAACATTGTGAAAAATCTCCTGATTTTTGAGTGTCATAGATTGGCAAGTATGTATCAGCAACTAGTACAGTCAAAAGTGGTTAATTCGGACACCCATAATCTGGAATGATCTATAATCCGGACCTCAAAGCTAAAAACTTTCTGCGAATGCGCCACGTTGACGCATGCGCATAGGCGTTTAAGACTTTTATGACTGTGCATTTGCATGTGCACAAGCGCAGAATACGTTTTCGCTGCGCGTTTAATGTATAACGGACGGTATAAGCTAAAATTATCTAATTATCTATTTCAGTTAATGTTGATGATTGCGTTGTTCCTTAAGGTATCTATCCGCCTACGTTAAAAAAAACGATTTCGGCGAAAAAATTCGATTTTTTTTTTATTGCCCAATTTGAAAGGTAAGTTTTGTAAGATTCCGAAAAATAGGTTCATTTTTACGTTTGCGATAATTAGAAGAGAAGGTATATAGACCAATTAACTGCACTGGAAGTGAAAGCAGAAAGACCGGAAGTGCCATTTAAACAATGTTGTTATCCGTGTTTTGTGGTTTTTTTTTTTTTTTTTACCTGTTTGTGTTTAAATTGTGCTAAAACATTTCATTTTAATTCTGGGTACTTTTTTTTGTTTCTGGCTAATAATTATTTGCCTTAATTTTTTGAATTAGGACTGGAACATTGCGATTTTTTGAACTGGGTCTGGCAATATTGCGATTAGGTATAAAGACTATGTTGCTGGGTGCATATATAGCCGTTTAAGTTTTAATTCAGGGTATCTTGGATTACTTCCTGTGTTTGAACATTTAGGCACATCAATTGAACAAGAAATGATAAAAATTACTTTGGAATTGATAACGAAAGAATAAAGAACTCGAAAATTCATTCGTCGCTCATTTCGAAAATAGCCAGAAAAAATTTAAAATCAAATAGGAAATCAAATTACTTAAGTATAAAGATATGGAGGGTGTGATGTACAAATGTGGAGAATTTTAAGTGTGTAAATACAACAGAACAGTTTTTCTGTAATGTGAAATCTTTAAATGCGTTTTCTGAAAAACTAATTTCTAGTGTTTTTACATACAAGAAATGTAATTACTCAAAATGTTCCAAAGAAAGATATCTCTATTAAATTTCACTAAATATTTTCTATATCTTATTAGGTTTTTAAGCTACAATCTAGTGATATTTATTAATTTGATGTTTTATAAGTATTCTTATAAAACGATAAGAAAATTTTACAAAAAAACGGTGTTTTTCATGTAATTACACATATTTTAGTAAATTTTAGAATATCATATACATTTTAGTTCATAACACAGATAAGTGTTGTAGTAGTATACAGTATACAAAAAATTAATTATATGCTGTGAGAAAAAAACATATGGTATTTAACGTAAGTGTTAAATTCTCCTAAAAATTTGCATAAAATTGCATATATTTCAAAAATTTATTAAAATATTCCTAAAAATTTATCTATTTTCATGATTTGATATCATATTTTGACTAAATAAATATATATTTCATCAGAATTCTATGTTTTTAAAAAAAAAGTGCCTCTGAAAGTAGGCAGATACCTAATCTTCGAATTAGATCGGCTTATTATTTTTTGCAGGACTGTAAGAGCAATTTATAAAAGTAAGCTTGAACTTTCGATTATGTCAATAGAATTTCCGAGCTGGAGCTCCCAGGATCTACAAAACGAAAGTATGGTTTCGATGTCCATCAAACAAAAAGTGAAATTGCTCCAAGAAATGGATAAAGGCATATCCTTTGTTTATCTAACCGTTCCGAAATCGTTTATCAATTTCCGCTGCTCTGCGCGGGGGGGGGGACGTGCGGCAACAATGAACTGGAAGTTGATATAATTAAGACCTATAACACGCCGAATAAATAAATTCAGAAGTCAAACAACAAAATCAGCGTTATATTTACACAATTTTCACAGGACTAGTTTCGATGGTTTTACCGAACCAACATCTTCAACTTTTTGTTGTTTGACTTCTGAATTGGAAGTTGATCTGTCAACACTATCGTTATCTTCAGGGCAGATGTTTTTATTTTATTTGGCTTATAATTCCTTATTAAATGTAGTACTTCATCTCGATGTACTTCGTCTTTGATATGATTTAAATCAAATTCTTCGTCATTATAAATATCACGACTACAAATCAAAAATGTTTCTGGTTGCAATTTTCTAATTTCAGCTATGCATAATGTATGTTTTACGCATGCGCGCATTGAAAGAAATCTTTAATAAGTAAACAAATAAATATTAAGCTTTTTTTTTTTTTTTTTTAAATTTTGATACCCTTTAGATCATAATTGCTCATTATTTTATAAATTATGGTTTCATATTTTTAATTTTTTTATAATTTGCATGCATCTTACCAGATTTAAACTGATGATCTATAATCCGGAATCACCGAAGTCCCGACGAGTCCGGATTAAAGACTTTTGACTGTATTTGAAACAGTGTGTGTATATTTGTCAACATTTGCCTTTATTTGTTGAGGCTGCATTTTGAGTTCTTTACATTATTACCTTCCTAATAAAACTGAGACATTCCTGATTTTTCTTTTCACTTTCCAATTTTATGGTTTTTAATCTATTTTTATTTAGATGACCTCTTTCAGATCTAGTTTTTAATTGCTAATCATTAAGTGTTGGAGTGAAAGAAAATGCTGTGAAAAAAATTTGATCACAAGTTCTTAAAAAAAAACTGAATTAACCAAAATTTCTTGGTAGAAATGCCAAGATTTTTACGATTGAAGCTTTTTCTTAATAACAAGAGAAATTATTTTAGTAATAGTATAAAATACAAAGTCGGTAATTTTTGTCATATTTATAGTGCGTTTTGTGATTATCCACTGCAGACTGCACACTTATACATTATTTTAACTATTCAATATCATTATTATTCATCATTCACACCTATTCAATGTTCATTTGTTTCAGTTGCACACCCATTCAGTCAAATTAATTTTATTTTCTTTTAGGTTGTTTAAAACCTTACTGTGTGGTTGAAATGGATGAACCACCTCAAAAATATGAAACCCGAGATGTTGAAGAAAAAAGTAACCCTTTCTGGGATGAGTCATTCATATTGTAAGTTTATATTTTTTCCCATTTAAATATCTGAATTAGTAAAATATTCTTTTGGCATATATTTTGTACTGTTATTTATCTTTATAGCACTGTGAAAGATGTTTCTGCTGAGCTGCTTTTTGAAGTATATGATAAAGGCAAATCTTCCAATGGTAAAAAACTAAAAATTTATTTCTAATTTAAAATTTTTTTTTTTAATTTTTAAGTTTAATTTTTAAATATTTGTTGTGGTTATGAAATTATGTATTTAATTATTCATACTGAATTTAATTATTTATCTCTGAATTTATATGCTAATATACTGATTTTCTTCTGAAAATTTTCTGTTTTATAGGTTTTTGAAACGCATCCATTTTTATTATTTTGTTGTGTTTACTGAACTTTTTTTTATTTATTTTATATTTAGTGACAGACTACACAATGATAAAAAAATGTAAATAACATTGCTCAAAGTATCATTCATACTTAATATAAAAAGTATTAAAAATAGAATTAAGCCACCACATATTATATAAATATATACTCCATATATTTAGACATTTTCATACAGAAGTTAGATTATGTAAAATAATTATTAAGCACCATTGCAAATAATAAAGTAGATGTAATAAGCCTTTATGTTAATGCCTCTGTTGTAACTTAAGTATTTAAATAATGGAAAAGGCTTTTATAAAGTAAATTACTGAATATTGTAAATAAAACAATTTTAATAAAACATTATTTCAAGTTACATATTTGCATTTTGCACTGCAGTAGTATTTGTGTATTTGTGCTATTAACAGCAACCAAATAACAATAACTTGACTATAAACATCTGTTTCACTACTAAAGCTATATTTTTCATGCTCTTTTAACCATGTGATATGGTTAAATATTCTTAGCTGAGGTTCTATTTTGTGTTTTGTATTTATTATTCAGTAGGTGTGTGAGATTTACAAAGTGCCAAAATAGAGCTATCCACTTTTCTCAGAATTGCAAAATGTTGTAAACATTCAAGAATGTTCATATTCCTAGATAGCAAAATAATGATAAAGCAGAGAAAATGTATTAAGCTTGTGCAACGTTGAAAAGTGGGACAGACAAAGATGAAAGTAAGAAATTGGTATCATCACTTTTACAATTGTTGTACAATTTATATATTTTTGATGCAATGAGTTAATCAGATTTTGCAAAGAATAGCTGAATATGGTAGGGCAGGGGTCGGCAACCTTTTGAGTCGGAAGAGTCAAAAATTACAATTTACAAAATTTCAAAGTTTTCAAAGAGCCACAAAATTTTTTCCTTGCCAACAATAAATAGTGCTCGCATAAATGAAGTTTTTTGATTAAAAAAAAACTATCTATCAAAAATTTATTCATTCAAGAAAAAAATATCTATTTATTCATATATAAATAGGTGTTTTTCACAACAAATTAGATAATATATATAGGGCATTATTAGATTATTATTATATAGGGCATTATTATTTAAGTAAAAAACTTAAAACAATTAAACATTTACTTACAACACTAACTTGTACTTTAATAACAAACAAATTGAGCAAACAAATTCAATAGGAGCGATGGCTTTGCATGGTTATTTAAGCAGAAAATTTGCTAAACTTTACTAAATTGTGTAACTTGCACGTAAATCTAAATAAAATAATAATAACAATACATCTTTAGCAAACAAATTCAATGGGAGCGTTGGCTTTGCAAGGTTTTAGAAAGTTTGGATAAATTTGGTTCATAACTTGTTGTTTTTAGTTTCAAACACGACTCTAAATTTTTATTTGTGAGTTGACTTCTTACTTTACTTTAATTATACTCATGCAAGAGAATGCTTGCTCCTACGAATATGTCGATCCAAAGATAGTCAGTACTCCAAATGCCAACTTCTTCACCTCACTGTAGCAATCTGGAAGACTATTCCATGCATCGAATATAAGTGCCTCAACTTGCGGCATTTCTTTTAAAGCTGTCCACTTTTGTTGCGTTATGTACATATATTTCTGGACCTCCAACTCTTCCAACTTGCTTTTCAACTCTGTAAATTTTCTACTCCACAAAGCTTTACTTTTTAAATCGATCAATTGCATTTCTAGAGATCCAATATCAATTCCAAATGGCTCAATGTGGATTTCGTTACTATTTGTGGTGAGAGGATTTACTATGAATGCTAGAGTGGTTTTGTTGGTTTTGAATTGCTCAAATCTGTCAGCAAATTCATCTTTAATTTTTTTTATAACTGTGCTGAAGTAATTTGTGTCAACATTTGCACTGGTTTTATAGCGATATTGCTTTAGCAATTAAAAATGAAGTAATTTACCGCTCTGAATATCTTCTGCAAAAATAATTAATTTTTCTTCAAAACAAACCAATTCTTCTACCAAAACATAGGCTGGGTTTCTCTTTCCTTGCAGTTTTAGATTCAGCTCATTTAATTTCGCTGTGATAACCATAAAGTAAAATTTTTGCAACCATTTGTCATTCTCTAATTCAGGGTGATTAATGCCTTTTTCATTTAGGAATGTATTTATTTCATTCAAACACAAAACAAAACGTTTCAACACCTTACCTTTGAAAGCCATCGCACTTTATTGTGAAGAAGGAGGTCAAAATACTGAGTCTCCATTTCGTTTAAGAATTCTTTAAACTCACGATGGTAGAGTGCTTTTGACAAGATGCTGTTAACAATCTTGATTACCAAATTTATGACCTGAACTATTTCGGCCGGAAATGTTTGGGCACAAAGCGCTTTTTGTTGTATTATGCAGTGAAACATAAAAATTTCATGTTTTATTTTGCTCTGAAGAATCATTGTTGCCCTTTTATTTTTTACTGTCATACTTCTGGCTCCATCAGTTGCTATTGAAACGATTGTATTTAAATCGATCTTATTGTTTTCAAGACATTTTTGCATGGCATTCATTATACCTTCCCCTCTAGTTTGTCCCGAGAAGGGTAGCAATCCTAGAAGTTCTTCTTTTGCACCTTGGGAAGACATATATCTGACAAAAAGGGCAACTTGTGTCATGTCTTTTATGTCGCAAGACTCATCTATAGCAAGTAACAAGGCAGAAGAAAGTTGAATATCTTCCACCTGCAAACTACATTTGAAGACATTTTAGCTATTCTATGTTGTACTGTTTTAGCGGATAGTGGCAAATCTTTGATTTTTTTTTCAAGATTTCTGGTTTGTTTTTGAAATCACGAAACAGTTCTTCAGATGCACGTATGAAGCTATCTTTGACATACTCACAATCTGTGAATGGTTTGCCTGTTTTTGCAATTTCTAGTGATACTGCGAAGCTTGGTAAATTAACATTACTTGTAGATTGCATCCAGTTACTTAACATTGAACTTGATTGCTGTTTTTGTTTTTGGAGCTCATCGACAGCTTTTTTTCGTTCTTCGGCAGCTGGATATTTTCTAGCAAACCGAGTATTTTTTTTAGTAAAGTGTCTCTCTAAATTTGATTTCTTATTGTGTGCGAGTTTTTTGTGGAAAATGAGACAAGTCAGAATGCTATCTGAGTTGCATATGAAAGCGAACGATTCTGTCCAATCCCGATTGAATTCCCGATGCTCTTCCTCAGTTTTTCTCTCTTTTTTTTTTTTTTTTTTCTTCTTTTTTGTAGATGCCATGCTTGCGGTGAAGCTGTAATAAAACAAAAAAAAAAAAAAAAAAAAAAAAAAAAAAAAAAAAAAAAAAAAAAAAAAAAAAAAAAAAAAAAGATAAATTAAAGATAAATCGCTTCTAACTCTTTTACTTGAAACAACAAACTGTACGTCACAGCCAAAGCACTGGTGAAGAAGGCAAATTTTCTTGCATCGAAAGCGAATTAAAACCTATATAGAAAAATCCGATGACGGACTGATGACAGTGACGACGCATGTCACAGGGTAGGTGTGTGGTGAAGGCTAACTACACTAGCGAGAGCAGTTTGGGTGAGAGCCAAGATGGGTCAGTTTAACTGAAGGGGTGTGGGTGAAAAGCTTGGGTATTTTTGCTTTTCAGAGGTCGAAGGGGTGTGGGTGAAAAGCACGGATATTTTTTCCTCTCGGATGTCGGGGGTTGTTTAGGGCTTTTTCTTACAATACTGCATTCACCCCTACATCACTGATAGATATGCCCACTTCCGTCCCAAACCGGATGTTTACATAAATCTGAAATACGTGGTACAAATGGCTGAGAGATAGAATCGGTGCCTAATAATCGTTAATTGATTCAGATTGATTTTTAATTTTTTTTGATAAAATAAATAATATTTGCGTATAAAAGTAAAGAGCCGCAGGTTGCTGACCCCTGTGGTAGGATAAAACATGTTGTAGATTGGAATGATTATCTTTTAGAAATTCACCTTACTAGAATTAAGAAAACTGAAGTCTGTGATACCCATATTATTGATAAAGTTAACTTAGTATTATAGAGTCATTAGGTTACTTTGAAGCGGGAGATGTGAAAAATGAGCAATGCCATCGCCGGGACTCAAACCTGAACCTCTCAAATATGCACCAAGTGTGCTACCATTACACCATGAAGGCATGCAAAAAGGAGGAGGAGGAATACCGTATAGTATCAACAAAAGTTTCCGGTAATAGTTATTGTGCCAGCATCTTGCGCCTCACCAGTGGTTGAGTGCTTAACATTGCTGAATACTAGTAGTTCGAGTTAGGTAAATAGACCATCTGCATGTGTAATGTGAATACAAGGCAGTTTCCCTCAGAAAGTCCTCCACAAAACCATCCCTTCCCTTAGCGTGCTTTGCCATATTCAAATAATCTAACCTAAACTAACCCTGCAATTTATGAATGAATAACTGAGAAGATTATGCTTCAAAGATAAGAAACAGTTTTCCTCAAAAATAAGAAACAATTTAGTGCTTTTTTGGTATAGAAATTATTGTATGTAACTAAAATTCTTATTTTTGATAAATGGTCAATTAAAAATTTTGTCTTTCATTTTCCTTTCACATATTTCATATGAATAAGTTGACATTTAAACTTAGTGCATCTGATGTCAGTTACTCGAGTTCTATTTGATCTGCTTTCAATGTAGACTGTAGATTGTTGTATCCAATTTATTATGAATATTAATATTGTTACAAAATGTACAGGCACAAGATGGCTTCCCCGTGAAGCAAATTTAGGTTTGCCATAAAATTGCAAGGGAAGGCAGGGTTGCCACATTTGGCAAGAAATCATCCATTTGGCAATGTTTAGCGACAAAACTGGCGATATACCATGCACGGTTGGAGAACCTTCTGGAACGAATTCTTACCGATTTAGCCCAGAATGTTCTCAAACAAAAGTCAAAAGCTATATAATCCCTGCTGGCCCATAGTCAGTCAGTGTGTGTGTGTCATCTAGAGGGCGAGTCAGAGTGCCACATCTGCAGTGCGAGTTACTTAGTATCAAGTGTGTTTGCCTGGTCTAGTGAGCTGATAGTCAGTCATTGAGCAAGTGTCTTGAAGTATAGCGCCAAGTTGTTCATCGAATGCATCGAGAGAGTCTTTTAGTGCGTCGCGAATTAGTGCATCATCGAGCTTTGTCTTAGAATGTGCTGAGTTGAGAGCTATACTCTTGTGTATCGTCGAGTGCATTGCATGGAGAGTCTCGAGAGTACGTGGAGTTCCGAGAACAACCAAGCAGAGTTGGGAGCTGAACTCAGGTGCTTGGCAGTGAAGCTGTCTCCACCGTTATTGCCAAACAGTGTGTCGCTGAACGTGTCAGCGTGTTTATAACAGTTCACGACTGTAAACGTGATTTTGGAGCTATCTGATTAATATTGGTAAATAAAGTGTGTTTCGATACTTTATCAAGTGTCGTCGTGATTCGCTCCAAATCTACGAACCCTGTACGAACGTGAACGAAGATAATAATGTAACAACTGGTGTCAGAAGCGGGATAAAAAAATGCGACAATATTATAAATATTAAGTTCTGCATATATTAAAAAAAGTAGAAGAAATATGAAAAATTCTAATGTCATTAAAATGGGTAAAATGTAGTACAGAGATATTAAGAAATAAGTCATAATAAATAGACAAGATTCAAAATGGTTACTATCTTTGAAAATTTTCTTTTTGTTGTTTCTTTCATTAAAAAAATGTGCTGTTCTTGTTAACCTTTCTGTGCTTAAATGTATAAACCAGTAGTCATTACTATTTTCGTTCAGAGTTCTGTTCATTCTTAAAAATAAGATTCATGATTTTGCATTATATTTAATGTAAAACAATTTAATTTAAGTCCTATATGAAAGCAGATAGTTTTTCAGGCATTTGCCTATTGAGTTATTTACCTGTGATGCTTTGATGTTAAAAAAAAAAAGTGTTGTTCAGAATAATTGACCTTGCTACAGTATTATGTCTTGTAAGGAGCACCTCTATTTAAGGACAATTATGTTGGTCTTGATCCCTTTGAATAAGGACCTTAATGTGTTTACCTCTTATTAAGGAGACACTGAAAAAAGGTTTCTAAAATAAGGTAGACTTAAATAAATAAAAATAGAAATACCCTTTATTAGTAATCTTTTGAGATTTCAAAGGCAGATTTGTGCTCAGTGTAAAGTATTTTTGTGACAAGAGAGCAATAAAATGAAATTTTAATCCTGTGCTTTTGAAAGTGGCTGTTTGACACATAGATGTAAAAATATGTAATTTTAATATGTATTATATAAACATAAATCAAAAACAGCACGTGAAGCAGAATAATTTATCGCGGGCGCAACATGGAACCTGTTCTAAAGGATAGAAAAGGAATAAAAATATTATGGATTAACTAATTTAAATGAACATTCCAAGACAAAATTTAGAAAAACTGAAGCATGTGAAATTCAGAGGTGTTCAGTTGGTTTTGTTCTGTAAGAGAAAATAAGTATTCTTGCAAGAAAAGGCAAATGAAATTTTGGAAAAAGTCTTGGACTACAAAACTTCAAAGCATCATATGATTGGCTAGACAAATTTAAGCAAAGACATAACAGTACTTTTAAAACTAGTTTTAGTGAAGAAAAATAGGTAGGTACACAACATATGGGCTTGATTAAAAAAAGCTAAATGAAATTTGTGAAACATATGAGGCTAAAAACATTTACAATGTAGAAGAAACTTGATTATTTTATTAAATTTTGGCTTATCAAACTATGCTTCAAAGGAAAAAAGTGCTTTAGTGGTAAAAACTTCCAAAGAATGTCTCTCTGTGCTTATGTTTGATTGCCCTTGAAATCAATAGCTTTATTCAAAATTTAATGTAATATATGGTTGCATTTTGGTCTAATTATAAATATTATATTTGCTTGTTTCTCTTCTGATTCAATATAATAATAGATATTTTTGAAATAATTTTCTACCCTATATCTATATCACATATGTACACTGTGCAAAAAAAAAAAAAAAAAAAAAAAAAAAAAAAAAAGAGGGGTGGACAGTTCTATATCTTCCACTCTACTGGGCCAGTTTATGAAATTCAACTTGCATTTTTCATGTCTCGAAAGCATGACTTGGGATATTTATTAGTGTTATGCATAGCATTGTTCTAATGTAGGTGTTTTGACACAAAATCAGACTTCTTTCTGAAACTGCATGCCAATTTATTTCTATATTTTGATTCTACGACTTAAATTATGCAATCTGCCAAGTTTGCCTAATTTGAGTCATAGAATCAAAATATGGCTCAACTTTTGCAAAATCACGCAAATAGTTTTTAAAAAATCAGCTCTCAAAGTTTTAGCTCCTCATTGTTAATTGAATTTGATATATATTTATTAGTATCTCTTTATTTATTAAACTTATTTGATTCTTCCTTTCATATTTTGAAATTTAGGTTTATTCCAAATAAAATTCTTCCATTTTTATGATTTATTTTTAAAATTTGTATTTTTTAAATAATTTTTTAAAAGTTTTGAATTATAACCTATAAAATTTTGCCATCATAATGTATTTCTAAGCATACCTGCAAAAAATTAGAGTTTTTTATTCAAAATTTCCTAAGATATACATGAATTTATATTTTGTACTGATAAAAGTCCGTCAAGATAAATTTCTCCATAAATTTCTCACCAAAAATTACAAATTGTGATATCCAGGCATAATTTGAGTTGTAGAATCGATATGAAAAAAAAAATTGGTATGTTATTTCAGAAAAAGTCCGATTTTGTGTCAAAAGACCTATGTTAGAAAAATGCTATATATGAATCTAATATATATCCTAAGTCGCACTTTCAAGACATGGAAAATGCAATTTGAATTTCGTTAATTGGCCCGGTAGAAAGGAAGATATAGAACTGTCCTTCCCCCTCTTTTTTTTTTTTTTTTTTTATTTGCGCAGTGTACATAACATTTAAATACAATATGCAAAATTGACACTCATTGACTCAGCTTTACTCACAGTAGCTAAAGAAAATTGTAATTTTTCAAAATTTCAAAAGGGGGGCTAAGGAGGAAGGTTCCTTTTTTATATGAAGATATTTAACTATAATTAAAAACTTCAAGATTCATTACAAAAAACTCTTATTATGGCAGAGCCCACCAGTGACCGAGCAGTAACGTCGTTGAATACTGGTAGTTCGGTCCGAGGTTCTAATCTCGCGAACGGGCTGACTGCATAGGTGTTTTCGTGGTTTTTTCCCTGTGTAACGTGTATACGAGCCAGTTTCCCTTAAAAAGTTCTCCACTTAAGCATCCCTCGCTTAAGGCAGATAGCCCTCGAGTGCGTTGCCGTAATCTAATAAATCAAACCTTATTATGTCGTGTTCTTTGTCAAGCTGCTTGTAGAAACAGCAGTCAGCTTTTAAAATGTGTCAGTGTATTGAAATACATCCAGTGGATAACAAAGTTTTGTTCAACACTGTTTTAAGAAAGCAGACTTTGAAATTACAGTTTTAAATGCTCTTTGAAAATACTATTGTTGAAGCTTATCAAGTGCTGAAGAATATTTAAAAATTGATTAAAACTTGCATATTGAAGACACCAAAGATGACATAATGTTTTTTTTCATCTGTAATTGATTTTAAAATTTGTCAGTGTATTGAAATCCATTCAGTGGATAACAAAGTTTTGTTCAACATTGTTTTAAGAAAGCAGTCTTTGAAATTCCAGTTTTGAGTGCCCTTTGAAAATACTATTGTTGTGCTCAATTCATCAATTATCATGTGCTGAAGAATATTTAAAAATTGATGGAAACTTGCGTATTGAAGACACCAAAGATGACATAAAATCTTCTTTTTTCAACTATAATTGATGATGCAAGGTGTAACAAAAATATCGTGGAAAGCAATAAGGAAAACAAAAAGAGCCAGACAAAAAGTATGACAAAAAACTATATAGATACCTCAAAATATACCTCCCAGTTAAAAAAAAAAAAGTCAGGATAACTGTAGGTGACAATGAAGGACTTAGATAATCAGTAACTTTAATATTCACATTGGAAAAATTTCTTGCAGTGTACAGACTTTTAAAACAAACCTATGCTACAGATTATTTTCAATTAATTTCTGCAAATGCAAAACTCTTTTCAGACATTTTTGCAATAATTAAACTTTTTTAATTAAGAATTTGCATTTTTCTTCATCTTTAAATAAATACATATGATTATGTTACTTATTTATATATCACTTATATAAAGTTTGATACAACTTGAATTTCTAATTAAATTACATTTTTATTAAATTACATTTATTTTAGCAATGCTCTGAAGAAGGCACATCTCTATTTAAGGGACAAAATGTCTGGTCTGGTAGGTGTAAACCTTTTTGGGAGGCGCTATTAGATTAAGCTGGAAAAAGTAGTAAATTTGGGGGTAAACAGGAATTTGTTATTAAAAATTTAGATCTAATTTAATAAAAAGAAATTCACTTTACATATATTTTCATGCTAAGAAATTTAAAGCAAAAAAAAAATTATAAAGCTAATCTCAATCTCTCGCCCCCCCCTCTCTCTCTTTTTTTTATTTTTTTATTTGTGATTAACTGTATTTTATTTTCTTGTATCTTTTTTATTGCAGAGAATTTCCTTGGTCTGGGTATAGTGAGTGTTGAAGAACTCATAAAAAATCCTAGCCAAAGACAAATTATTCCATTGCAATCAAGACCTATGGAAAAAGATGATGTCACAGGTTCTCTAACTACTGAAGTAAGGTTTTAATTTTTATTGGAAAGACTATATATGATAGAAAATTTCTTTTAAAGGAAATGCATTGTTGATAATTATTTCTAAAAGGTAACCATAACTGGCAAATGTAAAATTATAAAATAGTGTTTATGATACAGAAAAAATAATTTTTGGTAAATAAAATCAAAGAATATGACAATCTAGGAAATTAAATAGCTCTAAACTCATTGTTAGAATATGGAAAAATTGACATATTTTAATTTATTGGTGGATATGTAACATTTAAAATGCAGATTAAACACTCAGCTTGTTTTTCTTTACAAAGATGTTTGAAATTGTAAATAGCAATAATTATTGAGATGGATGCCTGTATTTAGCATTTATACATTTGTAATCATCTGTGAAAAAAGTCAAATGCTCCTTGAAGATTGCCTCTTCATATCTGTAGAAGCTTTTTTTGCACCATTCTTTGGCAACATGCTGTATGGGATCATTATATGCCAGATTGAAGTTAGGAGTAGCCTTTGATCTTGTAACACATAGTTCATTCTGAATATCATTGATCTCCTATCACACAGTTAATTCTGGCTGTATAATAATTGTTTTGCTTTATCATTGCTGCAGTATTAATGGTATAGTTCAGATACAGTGTTAATGGTATACATAAAATGCCAGCATATCTGTTAATCAACTATAATTTGTTTATGATGATAATGTGCTTTTCATAAAAAACATTGATATCTGTTATGATAAGTGATCTGTCTTTGCGAAGTCCACATGAAAAATTCAAAAGCTTTCTTTTTTTCTTGCTTTCTGTAACTTTTTATCCAAAGCATCTTTGCTTTGTTCTTCTCCTTATTCTGTTAAAAACCCATTCTGTCTACTCTTATTTGATTTGATGATGGTGCGAATTATTCTTCCTCTTTCCACTGGTGTACATGAGTATTGTTCTAGCATGTTTCTGATTTCCTGGCCTGGCGTTTCTATCCACTAGCAGTTGTTAAACTCTTAATGTGAAGTTTAACTGATTCCTGAATCTAAAAAAAAAGTATTCGATAGTAATGTTTGGATGTGTTACATGCATAATAACATAGAATTGCACTCCCTGAACGTAATAATGGTTACTGGAGATTGATTTTGCTGTTATTTTGGTTCAGGTTTGAATCCAAGGATACAGGCATGGATGTATGTGTAATCACTTAAAATCTGCACAATGAAATGTTTTTCCAGAGATCAGCAGCAGGGAAAGAGATGTGTGAATCCCTTGGATTTTATTCCACAGGTTGCTTTCAATAATAACTAAAACAGATTTTTGTGCACTGCTTTTAAATTAAATAAATGTAATTCAATCCATTGGATTGCCTTCAAACTTTTTATTTAACCTTCCAAAATGTTAGCCCAAAAATACTTTATACTGTAGCATCCTCTATTTTCGTGAGTTTATTCAATATGTAACAATATTTCGTGAGAAATAAATGATAACAGCTTTACTTACATCGAGTGTATTTTAATGGGTCTTATAGGTCTTACATATTTAAAATATCACATGCAATAAATAATATACAGGGTGGTCAAAATAAAACTGGCCTGGAAAAACGATTGAAATCGTGCCACAGAATGTTCCCTTGTTTATATTGTTGGGAGAATTTCCCTGTGTAGAAAATGTTTGAAACGGCCAATGGTGATGTCGATGTAACCATCAATTTCTGTTGCATGTCTGCGCATGCTCATGTGTGCACATGCTCATCTCTTGCATGCTCTGTCCCAAGTTCTTTGCTGTGCCCGACATTTGAGTGAATGAGAGGTGCATATGTGTTTAGTGACCAGTTGAGTGTTATACAAAGTACAATTCTTTAAAAACTTATGTGGAACTGTTTACACAAGTGTTTAAGAATGGAATTGTTTTGGCAAAACCTCCAGCAAAGTCTTCAGTGCAAGACTTCGTGACAAAATGGTACAAAACGGTCTCTAAAAGTTCAAACACCAGAAAACATTGATCAAGTGAAGAAAAGCTTGGAGCAAAGTCCAATAATATCGCAAGGCCGTTTGTCTGTGCAAGTAGGGATTAAGAGATCGTTGTGTCAAAACATTATCAAAAGGGACTTCCATCTGTATCCATACAAATTTGAGTTGTGCATGAGTTAAAGCTTCCATCAAACTTGCACATGTTGAGTTCTGAGTGAAGTGGAATCAGTCTTTTTGGATTCTCAGTTTTTCCATTTCTTCAGATGACGCTTGATCCAGTCTGTCAGGGTATGTGAGCTCACATAACATGTGGTATTTATACATCAGAAAATCCCTTTCATTATTTTGAAGAGCTGTTGCACAATCTCAGGCTTGGTGTTTGGTGTGCAATGTCTGGATTCCATGTCATAACACGATTCTTTTACCAAACTGTTAATGCTGACCAATATCTCCAGAATCAGTTTAATCCATTTGTGGATTAACTCGCAGAAGATGAACGACTCTATGGATATTTTCAGCAAGACGGAGCAACAACACACATCGCCATGACCACCTCATAACACCTTGTCATGAGTGCATGAAGTGTTTAATGAGTAGAGGACAATCAGCAGAGACTCTGCAATCTCTTGACCAATTTAATCGCCTGATCTCTTCCCCCCTGTGATTTTTACTTGTGGGGCAAATTGAAATGTCAGATTTAGTCAAATAATCCTCAGATGCTGGAAGAGTGCGGCAGAACACTGAAAACGCTATTGCTGCTATCCCTTAAACTTTTTTCAGTCACGACTCCTTTTCATCACTGAGATTTTTTCGCGACCCCCAGCTCCATAGTATTTACAAAAATTTTGTGGGACCCCATAAGTATTGCGCAATTCCAACACACGTCATGAGTAAAACTGTCAATTTTTTCACTTGTCTTATTTTCTTATCTTTATCTATTTTCAGATGCATTGTGTAAAAATATTTGGTAATTGTAAAATTATTATAATAAGTTAAAATATCAGAACTGCTAAAAGTTTTGGGGACCCTCTGCTGCAGGTCTGGGGTTCACAACCCACAGTTTAAGAAACCATGCCTTAGACAAAGCTGTTACACATTTCTCACAGTTTGGTAAATCAAGCACAACGCTGCATTGATATCAACAGTAGCCATTTCTAGCATTTACTATAATGGGAAGTTCTGTTCATCAAAAAGGTTCAATTCCATGCATATAAACCTAAAAAATATTTTACCCACCCTGTGTATAGTCAGCACAATGTATATAGCACAATGTAAACATGTTATATGAGATAGGGATTGAGTGACTTTTCATTACATTGCATACATATACTTCAAGAACTCTTTAGTTGTATTGTATCTCTGACCTGCAAATGAAGAGGGGGGAAAAAATCATCTGTTAAAAAAAATTCTTACATTTACTGTTTCAGATTGCAAAAAGATTGCTATGTATGTTATTATTACACTTTTTCCTCTAAGAACTTTTTAACGTGACTTTTACTCTTCCTTGAATTCTATAGTAAAGAGAAAATGCAAACTAAAATTTTACCATATAACCTATAACATTCTGCAATCACATAACTAGCATCACATCTTGATTTTTAACTTGTGATAATATTAATGCATTTGAAAGTCTGTTGGATTATTCATATAGCTTTAATAGGGCCTTAACTTGAGATGTAATCACTTATAAATATCTTAATTTTAGTCAAATTCAAGTGTGTGAATTGTCTGACTATTTGCTAATTGTGTAGCATTGCATTATATAGGCAAATCATCATGAATGTAAAACAATGTATAGTTTGTAGGAAATAATTGTGTGAATTATAGCCTTGCATTTTGGTATGATTTACAGATTCTGTATCCTTCAGTTACATTGTAAGTGTAATTGAAGCCCAAATATATTTGTTCAATTTTAATTCAGTTTATCATTCATTATTCAAATGACATTTCAATGATTTGTGAGTATTTTTCAGAATATTGCATTATAGTTTCTAAGTGACTATACTGAATTGACCTTTTTTTATCCAAGTAAAGAGAATGTCAAAAAAGTATCTTTCTCACCAAAAATATAATTGTACTTTTGGAAAAGAAGGAGACCTAAAATCGGCAATCTAGTAGTGAATCAATAGTGTAATATAGTTATTTCCGAAATGTACATTGTGGTGGTTTGTAGGGGCAATGTAAAATATTTCAGTATTTTAATAGAGATGATATTTAATGTACATAATTTTAGAATCAGACCATTAGCGTGCTGGTAAGATTGATAAAAAGAACATATAACAGATTATGTGTCTAAACTACAGTTTTTTAAAATCATCTAACAGTTTATTAATTGATCTGAAAATTACTTTCAAGAACACCATGCTTATAAACTTGTATGGGCCCTTTCAGAATTGAAGCTAGATCTGAATTTGTTTTTTTAATAAGAAATCTTATTGAGCTATCTTGGAGCAACAGTTATCTTATTAAGCTGTCTATCAGTGCTGAAGGCAAAATTCATCTGGGGGAACTGACTTTTGGATATCAGAAAAGTGAATAGTCCATACACAACATAATATTTCTACAAAGCTGTTTTTCCATAGTCGCTGTGATAAAAAGCAAATTACGTGAAAAAAAATGTGAAACAGGAAATGTGGTTAGTTTATCAAATATAATTCCAAGATTTCAAAAACTAGGCTGGGAAAGACCTATTACCCTTTCTATTATCAAATTAGCATATTTACTCAAAAGTAAGCTTCCTTTTGCTGTATTTTGTTCTAAAATTTGATAGGATGATTTTATATAAATTGTTCTGATTCTGAAATAATGTGCAATTTATTTTTTAATTTGAACAACCTAAATTACGTCATCCACACTTATAACTGTTAGGCGGGCCTGCATGCTAATTTTAGGCATAACGGACAAGTTCTGATTATCAAAGGCATGGTATGTCAAATATATTTTCAAACCACTGATATAGTATATGATTAGATTTAGGAAAACTAAGGCTGATAATTTTCAATTAGGTAACGAAGTGACAGAGGCAGGTTCCTGGGCAATGCCCTTCCTACGTTGAAAATGTGAAAAAGTTTTTGAACCATAACTTTCATGAGATTAAGGTTTTCAACGTGAAGCAAATGTAAAATTGATTACAACAAAAATTTGTGAATTTGTAAGGATCCCTTATAGTAGATAAGACTTCTTAAAAGGTGAAGATCATAGGAAATCTTAAAAAGATGAGATGAGCAATTGTAGCAATATGAAAAGAAATAATTTCAGTGTAAAGTTCTCAGACCCAAGCGTGAAAGCAGTTGCTGTAATGCTGGATGCTGTTCTTCTGAATGTCAGGGACAGTCTGATCAGGTGACTTTCAGGAGCATGGTTGGGCAAGAGAGTAAAAATGCAGTTTGGCTATTTGCAGGCAAAATTCAGGTGGGCAAGGTTTCAGAGTCATGCATAATTTTGGGATTGGTTGAGCCAAAAGTTGGGGAAAGGCTAACTTAACATATCATTAGGCAGTTAAAAATGGGGGGAAATTATCAAGTTCAGGCAGCGAATACAAAAATTAATGTTTACAAGATTAGGCTATGATGATTAGTTGGATATTCTTAGTAATGTACCAGGTTTTCTGATATTATTTACAGCATTGAAATCATAATCTAAACTTTGAATGTAAAATTATATAAAGATCCTCGTTATTAAATATTTATGCTGCTTCACTCTGTTGAACAATATAGATTTTTTATTTGAAACAAATTAAATTTTTTTGTTACTACACTGAGAACCTTTTCAGAACTTTTAATTTTTGGACTGTATGGATAATAAATGGCTTGATGATATACAGTCAAAAGTCGTTAATCCGGACTCGTCGGGACTTCGGCGATTCCGGATTATCGATTTTTCCGGATTATAGATCATAAGTTTAAATCTGGTAAGATGGAATGCAGAAATTATAAAATTAAAAATATGAAACCGTAATTTATGAAATAAAGAACAATTATGATCTAAAGAATATCAAAATTTACAAAAAAAAAAAAAACTTAATATTTGGTTGTTTACTTTCTTAAACATTTTTTTCAATGTAAGTTGTTTAATTTGCTTCATTTTATGTGATAATACTTCTCTTTAATTCTATAAACAGACATAATTTCTTCTTCAGTTACGAAGTTCCGCTGCTGAAGTCCTATAATTGCTATGTCGAGAATACCGACTAATTTGTCAATCGAAATTTTTTTGTTTTCAATAACCTCTTCACTATCGGAAGCAAATTATGACGAGGAATTTTATTTAAATCATATCAAAGACGGAGTACATCAAGATGAAATACTACAATTAGTAAGGAATTATAAGCCAAATAAAATAAAAACATCTGCCCTGAAGATAAAGATAGTGCTGACAGATCAACTTCCAGTTCATTGCACGCCGTGACGTCCCCCCCCCAGAGCAGCGTGAAATTGATAAACAGATTTCGGAATGGTTAGATAAACAAAGGATTATGCCTTTATCCATTTTTTGCAGCAATTCCACTTTTTGTTTAATGGAGTTCGAAACATACTTTCTCTTTGTAGATCCTTTGCATATTAGTAAATATATATCGTAAATTCTATTTGACACATAATCGAAAGTTCAAGCTCACTTTTATAAAATTGCTCTAACAGTCTGCAAAAAATAATAAGCCGGATCCAATTCGAAGATTAAGGAACAACGCAATCTGCAACCTTAACTGAATTAGATAATTTTAGCTTAGCTTTTACCGTCTGTTATACATTAAACGCGCATGCGTAAACGTATTATGCGCATCCGTAAAGGTCTTACGAACATGCGTCAACACGACGCATTCGCAGAAAGTTTGTAGCTTTGAGGTCCGGATTTTAGATCATTCCGGATTATGGGTGTCTGAATTAACGACTTTTGACTGTAATGCAATACAGTGTGCGAAATGAAAGGATTAGATGATAGATCTCTTTGTAGTAGCATTTTATACAGTCAAAAGTCTTTAATCCGGACTCGTCGGGACTTCGGCAATTCCGGATTATAGATCATCAGTTTAAATCTAGTAAGAGGGCATGCAGAAATTATAAAATTAAAAATATGAAACCGTAATTTATGAAATAAAGAGTAATTGTGATCTAAAGGGTATCAAAATTTACAAAAAAAGGAGCTTAATATTTATTTGTTTACTTTATTAAAAGTTTCTTTCAACGTGCGCATAGTCGAAATTAGAAAATTGCAACCAGAAAACTATTTGATGTGTATTCGTGATATTTATAATGACGAGGAATTTGATTTAAATTATATTAAAAACAGAGTACATCAAGATGAAATACAGTCAAAAGTCTATAATCCGGACCTCATAGCTACAAACTTTCTGAGCATAATACCTTTACGCTTGCGCATATGCGTTTACGCATGCGCATAATACGTTTACGCATGCGCTTTTAATGTATAACGGACGGTGTAAACTAAGCTAAAATTATCTAAATATCTATTTCAGTTAATGTTGCAGATTGCGTGTTCCTTAATCTTGATTGGATATAGCTTATTATTTTTTGGAGAGTTTGAGCAATTTTAAAAGTATATTGAACTTTGGTTATGTCAAAAGAATTTCCGATTCTGGAGCTGCCAAGAGATCTACAAAGCGAAAGCATGTTCGATGTCCATCAAACAAAAGTGGAATTGCGCAAAATGGATAAAGGCATATTCTTGTTTCTATCCATTCCGAATCTATTATCAATTTTCACGCTGCTCCGCGGGAGGGAACATCGTGGCGTTCATGAAACTGGAAGTGATCTGTTACACATCTTACTTAGGAGATTTTTTATTTTATTCGCTTATAATTCATACAAGTAGTTTCATATCTGGATATCTGGATGTACCGTATTTGATTGATTTAAATCAAATTCATCGGCATTAAATAGCACGATACACATCAAAAGTTCTCTGGTGCAATTTTTATTTCGACATGCGTAAGTATGCTTTACCAGCGCCTTAAAGATTTTTAAATAAAATAAAAAATAAATATTAAGCTTTTTTTTTTTTTTTGTACATTTTGATTAAATCTGTTTTAAGACTTTAACGTACTACTTAGTAAGGAATTACAGTCAAAGTCGGAATTTGGACACCCATAATCAGAATGATATATAATCCGGACCTCAAGCTACAAACTTTTGCGCATGCATCCATTCACGAGCGCCAGGCGTTTACGAGAGCGCGTAAGACCTTTACGCTGCTAATATGTTGTGCGCTGCGCATTTAATGTGTAACGGAGGATAAGCTGAGCTAAATATATAATTCGTTAATGTTGCAGATGCTGTGCCTAATCATCGATTGGATCCGCTTATTATTTTTGCGCAGACAGTTTGAGCAATTTCATAAAAGTAGCTTGAACTTTACGATTATGTCAAATAGAATTCCGTATATATTACTATATGTATTGTATCTACAAAGCGAAGTATGTTGAAATCCAAAATCTGTTTATCATTTCACACCGAGGATTGGAAGTTGATCTGTTAGCACTATCCTTATCTAGGGCAGATGTTTATATTTTATTGGCTTATAATTCCTTACTAAGTGTATATTTTATTTCGATGTACTCCGTCTTTGATATGATTTAAATCAAGTTCCTCATGATTATAATTCGCTTCCGATAGTGAAGAAAGGACCCAGAGGTTATTAAAAACAAAAACATTTCGATGACAAGTAGTCGGTATTCTCGGCACAGCAATTACGGGACTTGAACGCAGAAATTTGTAACCGAACAAGATTATGTCTGTTTATAGAATTAAAGACTAATAGATCACAGAAAACGAAGCAACTTAAAAAAACATTGAAAGAAATGTTTAATAATAAACAAATAAATATAAGTTGTTTTTTTTTTTTTTTTTTTTTTTTTTTTTTTTTTTTTTTTTTGTAAATTTTGATATTTCTTTAGATCTAATTGTTTATTTTCATAAATATGGTTTCATATTTTTAATTGATAATTTCTGCATGCCAACCGTACCAGATTTAAACTGATGATCTATAATCCGTAAAATCGATAATCCGGAATCGCCGAGTCCGGATTTAAGACTTTTGACTTATAAGCCAAATAAATTAAAAATCTGCCTGGGATAAGGATTGTGCGACAGATTCACTTCCAGTTCTTGCACGCTGCGAAGTACGCCCCCTCTCATAGGCGCGCTTGATAACAGATTCCGAACAGAACAAAGGATGCCTTTATCCATTTTTGCAGCAATTCCACTTTATGGACATCAAAAATGCTTTAGATCTTTTTCCCTCCAGTCGGAAATTCATTTTGCATAATAAAGTTCCAAGCTCACTTTTATAAAATTGCTCTAACAATCTACAAAAAATAATAAGCCGGATCCAGTTCAAAGATTAAGAAACAACGCGATCTGCAACATTAACTGAATAGCTTAGCTTATATCATCCGTTATACATTAAACGCACATACGTAAACGTATTATGCAATTACGCATGCGCAGAAAGTTTGTAGCTTTGAGCTCCGGATTATGGACGTCCGGATTAAAGACTTGTGACTTCATTATGCCATTAAGCCTTCACTAAAGGTTTTACCGAGTTCAAATTTATCTTTTGTTTCCCCAGTCAGTTTATTATTTAATGTTTTTAATTGGAAATATTAAATAATAAACAGCAAAAATGTCTTTCTAAAATTTTTGGATCTTTATGTTATACTATAATATAATGTAGCATTCTTGTAATGTGCTAAGTGTTGGTATTGCTCAAAACATGATATTTCCATCTTTCACTCAGTGTAACAAATACTCAGTTTTTAAAATGCTACCATTCAATAAATATAAAGATTTTTAATTTACCTATCGAATTGTGATTGCATAATGTATCTGATATTTTTTTAGCATTTGTAGTATTACTATAATTGATAAAAGAAGTTTCTAGTGTTATATATTAAATGCTTCAGCAGAGAATCATTTGTTCTTTAAATTAGTAAACATTCCTACTAGTCTAGTTTATTTGAAGAAGAAAAAATATTGTTAATATTTTAATTTTGTTTTTCCTTTATAAAGAACCACATTGATCTATATTTGCAGTTTTTGTTCTTGAATCAAATAACTCCTGTATCAGAACCTACATATTTGGCACAACATAATGGAATTGGTGATGGATTGCATGGTCCTGGTAAAACAGTGGAAACAAACAGTAGAGTTACAGCTGGTGGTACTGTTATCACAACAACTACAATAAAAAGGACTAATCAAGGCATGTTTGATATTACTCTCTAAAATTTTCTTTGTTTTCCAACTGAGAGAGTGATAGGTACTTTGTAAAAGTATCTGTTTAAGAACCTGAGATTTGTTTCTTTCATGTGTGTTTGAAAAGGGGTATAATGGGACATATTTGATTATTGTAATATTTTGTAAAAAAGGTACGAGTACATATCATGTAAAAATGAGTGAATGATCTTTCTTACTTTTGTTCCTGTCTGTATCCTCTCTTATATTATTTCTGAAAAATATGTAAAACCTCTGCAGTATAATTTACCCAAAACCTGTTTCCTCTCCTAAATAAAGCATACAAATACGTTGTCCGTAAGTTTAAAGCCACAAGTCACATAAGAGAATTGCTGCTATAATGCTTGGATTTAGTTCTTATATTTTACATGGCTTGTTTTAGCATACTTTTCTTTTCTAGCAATTGTATATAACTTTAAAATTTTTTGTTGCTTTCCATGAATAAACTTTTTGTTCCTTTTCTTGTTTAGTGTCGTGAATTTTTGTCGTAAATTTTTACTTCTGTCTTCCGTCTTTGATAAAAAAAATTAATGAAGTTTTTAAAATTTATGAAATTCAATGCTAATCTGATATCTCTGTATTAGGCATTTGTATGTGGCATGAAGTAAAAAACATTATGTTCAGTACACAGTACATTCATAATTCTTGAGCTTTAATGTATATATTTTTAATTACACTTTAGATTATGCATATATGCCTAAAACTGTTTAAAAAAATTATAATTTATTACAGTGAAAAATAAAAATTAATACTTATTAAATTTGAATGAAATGAACTGTAAGAAAACTTTTTACAGTGCATATATGTTGAGAGCTTTCTCGGTATTTGTTTTCATCCCACATCAGTGCTTCAGGAAAGAAAGTGTCCATTTACTGTTTGCTTGGAAAAAAAGCTCTGTAGTTTTGCATGTTTCAAAGATTTTAATTTATTAGATTTTAATTTTAATGCATGATATTATATAATTTTAGCTCTCTGGCTAACCTATATAACTGTTGTTCTGGCTTTCTCTTTTATTGCTTATGTTTTTTCAAGTTAAAAATTCTTTAATTTTCTAGCTTTTAAATATTTTGCAAATCTTTCAGAAACTTGTGGTAGACCAGAAGCCACATCTAATGTGATTGCTAACTCTATTTCCAACAATTCTGCTGGGCCTATTTTAACATCTGTGCATGAAGCTGCAGAAGAGCAAAATCATAAGATGAATTTTGCCATAAATGAACAAGCTGTTGTATCTGATGCAAATAAAATGAATGGGGATCCTAAAATGCATAAAAGCATCATTGAAAATAACCATTTAAATGAAAATCTAAATGAAGTAGAATCAGCTTTAAAAAATGTAAGCACCTGTATAAATGATAAAATTGAAGGTATTACATTGAATACAACTTGTAAAACAAAAGAAAATAATGAATCTGAAAAAATGAATTTAAACTCTGAAAAACAATCTAGCTTTCTAAATGGTGTACCTGATTTAGAATGTAATACAGTGCATGTGCATGCTCCTCCTAATACCCCTGTCATATTAGTTGGTGACTTATTGCCAAAAACTGACGAAAGTTGCTCTCTTCCTATTAAAATTGAGGAAAATGGAATAATAGATGCTACTGAATTGCATGATGTCAGTGAAACTGTAGAAAATAGCATGTCTTTCTCTAGAGACACTGATAGCAGTAGCATAGAATTATGTTCCACTTTGCCACCTATAGCGGAACAGGTAGAAATTAGTTCTTCATCTTCGAAAGGTTTAGAGAATTATAATGGTGAGCATTTTTTTTTTTTTTTTTTTTATTATTATTATTATATTATTTAAAATTACAAGACTTACTCCCTTTATCAGTTTTTATGTAAATTTCTATATTATCTAATTGCATTAAGGTAAATGTATGTTCACATTTAAAGCAAGTTTATGACAATTTTATTTGTTATAAGAATTTTTGGATGTTTCTTCCAACATTAAACAGTAAAATGTTATTTTATAAATTAATGCTATAGCGTTTGTATTCTGATTGTAGAGTATCTTAGAAGTATACAAAATGTAGAATTTCTTTTCTGTATTTTACTTGTATGAATCTCTGATAATAGCATAATACATGTTTATTCAATACATGTTTTAAATTAACTACTTATTTATCTTTCTGAGGGTTTAAATAGTAAAAAAAGGTTAAATTATATGAAGTGTGAACTTCAAAAATATTCTTGGATTATAAATCTGTGCTACTAATATGCACTCATTATTTTCATACTTATGTAAAGCATATGTTGGATCTAATCTACAGTAACATTTTCTTTGGGGGAGGATGCTCTGGAATAGAAATCTGAGAATGATGATCCATAAAATAATAGACTATTAATTTGAGAAATGAATGCAAAAATTTTCATTTCTTTGTTTAATCACTATTTTCATTAATTACTTAATTCACTTATCTGTGTTCTGAGCTGTTGTTCTTTTAAATGTATATTAGCAAAAATTCTAATGATTAAATAAATGTTATGGTAATTTGAATTTATATTGATATGTTGCTAATGTTAATATTAAACAGTTTCTTTGTTAACATGTATTAGGTAGGCAGTTGTATACAGCTATGGCCACAATAAAAGAAAAGTCTTTTTTTATTTTTTGAAAATTTAAGAATAACATCATTTTAGATTTAAGCCTAAAGTGTATTATCTGGACTGTAGTGATATCGTTTATTGATTCTCTTAATATCATCGTATGTTACCAATTAAAGGTACATTTCTAGCATTTTTTCTCTAAACTATCCCCAAAATGCATCAGACAGAAAAATAGAAACTTTTTAAAAGACTTTTACACGCTTAAAATATATATATAAAATATGCCATTCTTTCTGTTCATCAGGTAAAGGGAAGCACTACAATAACATTGAAGTTACAAACTATTTTAACAATGCACAGCAATGGATTATCAATCAGAAAAATTGCCAGATTGGTTGGATATTCCTCATGTAGATGATACAAGAAAATGTTAACAATACATGTAAAAATTAGGCCTGAACATAACAGTATGTCTTTTAAGAATAACTTAAAAGAATGCTTCTTTCAAAATCAACTAAGAAGTAATTTTTGTCTGCAAAAAAATTTGAAAACATTGGTCATAATGACAGAATAATTTGCCATCTAGTGAATGAAACAATGTTTTCTAGAACTAAAAAAAAATTCTGTATTTCCAAATTCTACTATATTGAAAACGACTGAAAAATCAAAGAAAAAGAGGAGAAATGTACTCTGGAACAATTAAATAAAAATAAATCTATTCGGCCAACCTCAAGATCATGCATACCTTCCAAAATAGACAAGGAAATTTGTTAAAGGCGGTTTTGTTTGGGATTGTGTTTCTTGGTATGGCTTAGATTCAATTGTTCATACATATGGTATCATGACCAAAAATGTATATGTGGATATCTTACAAAGGAAAATGTTGCCAGGGGCAGAAGAGAACATAACCCTGAAATGAAATTATCAACAAGGTAGTGATTTAAAGCATTCAGCAAAGGTGTTGAGAAAGAAGGTGGTTTGAATGAAACAAGCTTGATGTTCTGCCAATGGCCCTATCAGTCATTAGAGCTAAATTCACTTGAAAACATGTGGCATGAGCTAGAAGATCATCACTCAAAATCTGAAGAACCTTTGGGAAACAGCACGAGATGCTTGGTATTTTATTCATCTTTAAAAATGTCAAAAATTAGTGTTCTTTATGCTAAATATAATTAGTGTAGTCCTCAAAACAAAGGTTCTGCAACTGAATATTATTAATAAAGAAATTAAAATTTTTGTAATAAGTAAAGCTTTCTGTTCTCAATAGCTAAGAATTTCCCCCCCCTCCCTTTTTCGTACTGTGCAGTGCATTTTATAAATGTTTAGGGAAGGGTATGGAAACATAATAATCAGTAATGATATTTACAGAATAAATAAATTTTATCATTAGAGTCAAATAGTACATAGTAATCTTGAGTTTAAAATGTTAAACAGGTGCTATTTTTATATTCAAAAATTAAAAAAAAAAAAAAAAAAAAGATGCATTTCTGTTTTTTGGCTATAGCTGTATATATGTAATGGGATGATTTGGAGAACAGCTGTAATGAATTGGTGATGGTTCTTTGCATTGGAAAGGCTTTACTGCATGCTTACCTGAGATGCATAATGAAGAAAAACCAGGGGTTGTGCAGAAATTAACAAGACAATTTATTTCTTGTCACATAATTCTTTGGATAAATTCCATCACTTTTAAAATTATGAAAAATGTAGTGAAAATGTGCTATAAGATTTAAATAGCTCTTCATTCAAAAGATCAAAGACCTGTTAAACTGAAAATTTTTTCTTCTTTTCTTTCCTTTTCCCCACTCCCCCCCCACCCCATTTTTTATACTAAATCTGTATTTGAATTTTCAGCTGTATTAAGTATATATTTTCTTATTTTTATTGACAATTTTTATTCAAGCTCTTAATATTTATATCAGATGTGTATTATAAAGTTAAATGATTTTCACTTTATGTTATCCTGCTTGAAAGGAATTTAGTAATGCTGAAACATTCCAACTAGAAACCCATATCAGCACCAAGTGTTTCAAAAGAGAAAGCCATAATCAATGTTTCTGAAACATCCTGAATATAACATTGCATGTATTAAAATTCCCATGATGGGGGCACAATCTTGGACTTAACAATTTCACTTCAACTGTGCATAAATGTAGAGGATTTGACCCTTATATCCAACAATTTGTCATATGCCTCATTTTTTGGCATGTGGATTCTCTGGTGAATCAGCAGAAGGTAATCACCACTGTCAGTGTTTTTAAAATATCTTTTACACGTGACTAAAATTTGTTTTAAAGTGACAGCTTAAATGCATGTGTTGAATTTTTGTTCTAAAAACTTTTCTCGTTAGTTTAGCTGCAATAAATTATGATTCATATTGTGTCATTTTTATTTACTTGTATCATTGCGTATTTCTTATTTCGGTTGATGATTCCCCCCCCCCGAATGGGAGGCTGAATAATTTGATAATGCTTGTTGCACATTCTATGTTAGATGTCATTTTGGGTGCAAGATGCACCTGACAATTTTGTGCCTCTTAAATATCTTGAAACAATAAATAAAGGGAGAAGTGCATGTTGCCAGCAACAAGCAAAGAGAAGAAAAAAGGGCTTTGCAATAATAGCATTGGTATTTATTTATAGACAAAATTTTCTTTAATCTGATTGGCTGAGGGTTCACTTCATCACAACGTGATTACAGCAGATTTATTTTCAGATGACACACTTTAGATTCATATATTAAGATTTTTAAGACAGGAAAGTAATGTACTCAAAGGTAGTAATTTTGGGTTTCTTTTTTTTTTTTTTTTTTTTTTTTTTTTAAATATTGCATATCCCCTTCAAAGAGAAGCTTAGCAATAGAAAATCCTTTTTAGAAGAAAGCATTAGAGTGTTAAATGAAACAAGGAAATCCAATTTTGGGGGGAAAAAGTGTCACAATTTTTATCGAAATTTTGAATATAACCTTTTTGACCAATAAGTACAAATTGTAGAGTTCAGTTGAAAACGGCAATCCAATTTTGAAATCTGTAAGGAATTCTTAGAAAAGTTCACAGTTTGCTTCAAATCATCATGTAAATTTTACAGTCCTTGTCTTGAAAGTCTTCTTGTAGAAACTATTGTATTCAGTATAAAACCAAAATATTTCTTAATTGTAAAGCAATGTAAAATGTACTTTAGAAATTAATAAATTAAAATTAACAAAATACACTTTGATAAAAATGGGCAAGTCCTCACAAAGAGAATCAGTACAATTATTTGCTGATGGCTGGGGAATGTTTAAAATACAATAATGCATAAAAACCTCTGTTCCTTTTACAAAATAACTGGCATTTAGCATAAAGTATATCAAAATGTCTGTTTATGATTTACAGATATAAATATCTTCAAATTACATATTTGAAATTAGTATATACACACATACAAACAAAAATTCAAATTAAGAATGAATGACCTGTAACTTTCGTACGCTGCCATTTTGGAGTTGACAATCACCCTCCTTGTCGGTAGTAATTTTTACAGACCACACCTAATGCTTGGCACCCCCACATACAGAGTTTAACGGGATAGGACATTTTGAACAGATGTTAAAGTACTTAGTTCTGCTGTTGGACACTTTGAACCTTATCACCATACGTTTTTCCAAGTACTACAAAATTTTTGTTTCTGCAGAGTAGCCTTAAATTCAACTTTCTTTTGCAAGGAAAACAGTTTGATTGGCTTAAGAGTTCAGTAAGTTCTTTTTTTTATTATTTATTTTATTTTTATTTATATTTTTATTTATTTATTTTTTTTTTTTTTATTTTTTTATTTTTTTTTTTATTTTTATTTATTTATTTATTTTTGTTTCAAATAGGTTTTCAGTTTTTTAGCTGTATAAGGCTCAGATTAGATTTTATTATTTATAGAAATCTCTATGAAAAGTTTTTCGTTTTCTTGGTATTAAAAGTTTAGGTTAGTATAATCGAAGACCACCCAATTTTTAAGTGTTGTTTAAATGACAATTTAAATATATTTGTTTTGCTCTTTATTTTTTAGACTCTTTTTTTTTTTTTTTTTTTTTGATCAATTTGCATAATGTGAAGTTTTATGGGTTTTTTTTAATAGTCAATTTGGCACAGTGTAATGTTTTATTTTTTATTCCAAGTGTTTCGAAAGCATGTAGGGAAAATTCTGGATACATTTGAGATTTGATTTTTCAATTTTATATGAATTTTTGTCTTAAATAAAAATTCAATTGAATCTTTTTTCAATATTTGATCTAGAATGAACCAGGAGAACGAAACATGTTTTCGAAATGTATTAATTGACTTTAATGAAACTCTAATTCATTTTCCCTTGATAAGTTCTGAATTTGAGTTTCAGTAAAAGGAGATTAATTATTATAATTTTGTATGTTTTTCCTTTTTACATTTTTATTTTTCACTTTTGTTCTACTAATCAATTCTTATTTTAACGTTGATATGTTTAGATATTGTGTTAAAGCTCTTATACACGGTTGAGAAATTGCCTTGCTTTGATTCCAATTTAATTTTAACTTTAGATGCTTTAAGTTTATTTTACTTCAATCCTGCAGCTATAGCACAATTTTTAATTTTTAGCATATTATTATGTTTCTTTTTATAATTCAATATAGTTATAGAAAAAATGAAGGAAATTATCTCATTATTTCCTAGAAAATCCGAAGTGAAATTTAGCATGCAGAAGTGTGCTATTGTAGTAAAAAAATGAGAAAGCATGTTTGAGTGTTTATATGCACTATTGAAAAATAAAAGAAAACAGTAAAATAAAACATTTATGAAAGCTAATATGTACTATTGTGAAAAATAAAAGAAAAACAGAAAAATCTTAGCGGGTTCCATAGAAAGACCCCCCACTTTTCAAGAAGAATTGGAATCTCTCCACACAACCTACAACAATTCATGAAAAGTGTGTTTTGTCATTTCACTTATGCGAAAAAATCCAATTTAACTAAGAATTAAACATATATGAATTTCATATAATTTCACTAGCAAATATATATACAGTCAAAAGTCTTTAATCCGGACCTCAAAGCGACAAATTTCTGCGCATGCTCGTTTAATGTATAACGGACGGTATAAGCTAATCTAAAATTATCTAATTATCTATTTCAGTTAATGTTGCAGATTGCGTTGTTCCTTAATCTTCGAATTGAATCCAGCTTATTATTTTTTTGCAGAATGTTGGAGCAATTTTATAAAAGTAAGCTTGAACTTTGGATTATGTCAAAAAGAATTTCCGATTCTGGAACTGCCAAAGGATCTACAAAGTGAAAGCATGTTTCGATGTCCATCAAACAAAAAGTGGAATCGCTGCAAAAAATGGATAAAGGCATATCCTTCGTTTCTCTAACCATTCTGAAATCTGTTTATCAATTTCACACTGCTCTGCGGTGGGGGAACGTCGCGACACGTAATGAACTGGAAGTTGATCTGTCAGCACTATCCTTATCTTCAGGGCAGATGTTTCGTATTTTATTCGGCTTATAATTCCTTACTAAATTTAGTATTTCATCTCGATGTGCTCCATCTTTGATATGATTTAAATCAATATTCCTCGTCATTATAAATATCACGAATACAACATCAAATAGTTTTCTGGTTGCAATTTTAATTTCGACTATGTGTAATGTATGCTTTATGCATGCGCGCGTTGAAAGAAATGTTTGATAAAGTAAACAAATAAAAATTAAGCCTTTTTTTTTTTTTTTTTTTTGTGGTAAATTTTGATACCCTTTAGATCATAATTACTCTTTCTTTCATAAATTACAGTTTCATATTCTTAATTTTATAATTTCTGCATGCCATCTTGCCAGATTTAAATTGATGATCTATAATTCGGAAAAACGGATAATCCGGAATTGCCGAAGTCCCGACGAGTCCGGATTAAAGACTTTTGACTGTATAACACATTGGTAGCTTGGTATATATCATTAGTCCACTCCAGATCTGTTGCTATTAAAAAAAATTTTATTCTTATTATTATAAGATTCTTTAATATTAGAATGCCATGGTTGAGATCTATACTATACATAAATGAAATACTGAACATGATACTGTGCATAATGTTTTTCTACTATCCAGATCAAAAGCAGTTTTTCAGTATGCTCTAGTGCCTCTGATATTTGATTGGTAATTGATTTAACCCACTTTGCTACATTAGCCAATTTAATACTGTCTTTGTTTTTCCGTAATCATAGATGTTATCGTAATAGACACATGATACACAATAGCCAAGTCCCAAATACATTTGCCATCTTTTATATTTTTTCCTTACCTTCATGGTGATCCTAACAGTTTTCTTCGTTATTTGACGCTTCTCATTCATTTTCTGAATATTCAGATTTATAGTTTGGGTTGTTTACTGAATAGTACAATAGTCATGGACAGCCGTAGTTTTGTCTCCAAAGAAGTAAACAAGTATAGTGCACATATCGTAACTCAAACTCAAATCATATTCCAAACAAAAATTTTCATGTCCAAAAAACAAGATGTATTTCAAAGTAGATGTATACTGAGGTATAACTCTGCTACGTATATCAGGAATTGAAATTCTGATATATATGTATATATTAGAAATTATTTAATTAATAATTACTGTGTCATGTAAAATACTGAAAAATTAGTTAAGGAAAGATATATATATAGAGAGAGAGATTGGTGATTTCCAAGTTGTAATTGAGTTGTTTTTAATTAGTGCCTTCCTTTTGGAAAATTTGCCTCATTTGGTTGATATGAATTCTGTATATGTATAAGAATGTTTGCTTAGTTGCAACTTTTTTCTTTTCTTTTTGATTTTTGCAATTCTTTCCATAGCCTGTTACTAAAGGGAAAGTAGGTAAATAAGCTATAAATTGAGGGTAATAAATGTAATTGATTTTACAGATTTATTCAGAGGAAATCATGATATTCAGAAATTCAGTGTTGTTCTCATTATTGCATTAAAATTTGATGAATTAACTTGAAAGTGTATTAAGTAATGTAAGTAATGATATGAGAAAGGAGCATTTGTTTATTCTTTAAAAATAATTCTACTCTTTTTTTTTTATGGGTATAGGGTATATAAAGCATTTGAATATAAGTATAATGTTTATTTATAGCAGGTGGTATTGAAATTCTTTCTTGCTTCCTTTGCCTGTACTGCAAAATAATGAAATTTTTCAAATTCATGAAATCTAATTTGGATTTGCATTGCTTCTAAAAGTCATTAGTAAACTACTGATCATAGGTTCAGAAACACTTGATACAAAACTGCATTTTTTATTTTTTACTTTCTTTTTTTTTTTTTTTTTTTTTTTTTTTTTTTTCCCCTACTTTTTCTTCAAAGCATCTGGTTTTTGCATCTGGTGAATTTCTTTTGATAACTAACAAATGTTTTATATGGTTTTTCTTTATGATAAATTGCAAAATATAATTGTATAAGGGAAAAAAATCGGTAAAAACTTATGGTCTAGAAAATTTATTACCTTATTAATGAAAGTTTTAATAATTTAAGTTAATATTTGATTTTTAATGTTATTGAAATATTTTTTTTAGACAATGAAGCAGATTTAACGGGAACAGCATTAAAAGAATTAGAGAAGCATAAACCAAATGCTAGCAAAAGTACTTTAATCATCCACAGTGTACAAAGAGTAAGTACAAATTTTTCATATTATTTTATTCATTTTCTGAATCCTTTTGGTGTATTAGTGTTTTTAATATTATTACTTTTTTTTTTTTTTTTTTTTTTGCTTCTAAAAGGAAAATACTCAACCTAATGTTAAGGTATGTCTTGTAGTCTCCTTTTAAAGCTGTTCAGATTCTTTTTTTATTTAAATTCTATCCCATATAATCCATTCTGAAAATGTATTGCTGATCTAGTATGCACAGTTACTTCATTATGTCAGATGTATACTTATGTAAAAATATTGCTTTGCATATTTTATTTTACCTTTTATGCTGCTAAGATTGTATACATTCTTAGCCCTCTCTTTTTTATTTATTTATTTTTATTATATTATTATTTTTTTTTTTTTTTCCATTCGAACTTTCGTTCTGCTTAGCATGATGCAACTTTTGGTTCTTAAGCAGGGTACTAATTTATTCAAATTACTTTTCATTGGTAAAAACAAGTTGGGTTTCTTATAAACAGGTAGCTATGGACAAATGTGGACAGTGGCAAGAAGTTCAAGAGGTACTTTCTGATTGATTCCTTCTTTTCTTTTTTTCCCCCCATACAAATTTAAATTTTCTAATTTGAAATATTTTGATAACCAAGTAATATGATACTATGTTTTTATTTTTATATCTAATATATATCTGTAATGTAATTTTTTAATTTAGCTCTCTAGTATAAAAGTTAAAAAAATTATTAAATTTAATATTTCTGTAGCGAAATATTTTATGCTTTATACAGTGTGCATGTTTTTTAATATAGTTCAGAATTTACCAAATATGCATAAACAAACAAGATAATGTCTAACAGAATTAAAACACATCTGTTTTGATTGTAAATTTTATTAATATATGATAATCGATATATGATATTAATATATGATATGATATGTTCATATCATATATTATAATTATATGATATGAACATTAATAAAATTTGTTGAAAAATATTATTAAACGTATATTATTTTAAATGGCTTACTTTGTAATATTGGTGAGAAAATAACAGTTGTAATTTGCTATATAATGGAAAAATATGCTCCATGAAAGAGTAATTACCTTGCCCAGCATCTCGTAAAGAAGATTTTCTACTGAATGAAAATTTTGAAAAAATCTTTTCAAGTGTTTAACCCTTTGACGTGCGCGATATTATTTAAAAAGTTTTTTTAACTAAAAACTCTAGAAATTGAATATTATGATTCTAGAGACAAGTAATATATGAATTAAAAAATATCTACTCTTGCCCATTGTTCTGTGGGTGGTGGACGCACTTGTGAAACCACCGTGCGCGTTTAGGAGTTTGAAACTTACTGATGGTAGTAGGGGGGAGGAAACTTACCTTTTTCCGTGCGCATTTCCAATAAATGACAAAATTTACGAATTTAAAAAAAAATGTGTGTAAGAATTGTATTATATGTAAATTTTTTACATTATTTTTACAAAGTAAATCGTCAGAATAAATTAAAAAATAAACATTTATGTAATTTTACTATAGCAGTGAGAAATATTAAGTACCTGCATAATAAGGAACGTTCAGATAAATGGATTAAAACTCAACTCAGTAAAGTAAGGGGAAAAAAATCAGTGTTTTTTTTTTTTTTTTTTAATTTTTTTTTTTTTTTCCTCAAAGAACACATTTTTTGGTTGTGACACTGTTCAAAGCATGTTTTGTCTCTTTGGTACATGCATAGACCCCACATTGCAAGTTTCACACACATCTTGTATCATTCGTTTCCCATTCATACTTATTTTATATTCGTATTTCATCCCAAAATATTCAGAAAAGATTTTAATTTAAATAAAACTTTTGCGCAATTTCTATTTTTAAGTATAGCAAAGTATATTTACCTTAAATTTAAAACTACAGGAAAATAATTTATAAAATCACAATACTTGCTTTGGAAGCAAGTGTGTTGATGGTCAGACAAAAATCTCTTGGAAAAGAAAGACCTTTTCACTGGGCAGGCACATGTATTGTTTAGTAATAAAATAACTCTGTGGTTTTCAAAGCCCTTATCTATATCTGGGTAAAAATAAATATTATTCCTATTTGAAAAGCAAGCGAAATGCCATTGAGATGCAAACGCCAGTGGTTTCAAGGAGCGCGACCACCGAGCCTCTAGAGGATTGTAAGCATTGTGACACAATGCTCTAGTGCAGTGGTCGCGCCCTGAAACCACATAGCAAATGCCGTACATATAGAGGTTTTTTTTTCTTATATATGCAGTTTAATTACTGCAATTTTTTATTGTTTATGATAGAAATCATGATGTACGATGACTAACTTTTGAAATTTGAAGTGGTTTATATTAATAAAAGAAATTTATTTTGTCTCATCGAAAACGAATTTTAAAAGGCATCCGATCTGAAGCATTAATACCTAAAACATATATGATTCTACAGTCATTTTGTGTTATTTAGATGTAAAAGATCAGTAATCAATTCATTTTCACTCAAAAATTTCGGAAAAAAGAGGAGGGAAAAAATTTGGAAAATGGTGGTTTCAGGGCGCGACCAGCACGGGTCAAATGGTTAAAAGGAGAGGGGGAAAAGGGTTTTGTGTTTTTATCCCTTCTAATTAAATTTTGAAAAAAACCTGCTTTTCATAGGATAGGTGGTGCACAAATACTGGAATTTATTATTTAAAATAAGTTTTATTTCGTAAACCTTTGATTTAAAATTCTTTCTATATTTGCTTCTCTGCATAGGGTAGTTTTGTGCATCATCTTTTGGGCATATGTTCTTTAACATAATATTTCTGCAAACTAACTTTATTCATTGATCTTTTGATGAAGCTTTCTTTTCCTTTCATTCATTATCCAGCAAGTAATTTACAAACTTTTTTTTGTGGACATATGTGTTTGGCGATTGGTTATGTGGAAACAATGATATTCAGAGATTTATTCAAATTATTCTTATTTTTAGGAAATGTTTTATTGAAACTGTTATGTGAACTAAGAATTATCTCATCCTTTCACAATTATAAGATTTGGAATAATTTTATGCAATTTAAAAATTATGTGTTTTAAATGAAATATGTATTTTAATTGTGAAACTTTTCTTATGGAATATTTTATGTTATTTGTAATTTTATTGTTAAATATTCTTTATCAACAACTTGTTTAGAAATTTTTTCATTCTTTATGCTGTAATTATATTTACTTTTTAAAAATATGTAAGCATCTGTTTAAAATGTCAATGCAATCCAAATTATAAGAATTTTAATAAAATGTATTTCATTAAATAGCCTGATAGCTCTGTGTCGGAAAGTTTAGAGGCATCACCTGCTAGTCGTGTTTCAAAAGATTCTCGCACATCTTATTCTGAAAGTGTTCCCTCATCGCCTTCTCAAGTTCAAAGTGGAGGTTATTGATTTTTTCTCTTTTTTGGATGTTTTAATGTCTTTAAGATTTCCATTACATTTTATATGTAAATATATGCTTTTAATTCTATTTTACATTATGTAAGATATAACAAAATATGATGGCTGCATTGAAAAATAATTGGCGGCCTCGAAATTAACATTTTAAATTTTGTGATCTGTCCCCTATGTTATGTAATGTTTTAATGCAAATACCTCTTTATCCAATCAAATTAATTGCAAACCAAAACTCGGAACTGAAACTTTACTGACTGCCCCCTTTCTTCCTATGAAGTACTGCGACACTCTTCCCTTTTTCACTTATGCTTTCGTGCTGGCAACATGCTACTTTTCCATGCTGCCACTTACTTGCTTAAGATGGCGTCATACTTCAAAATGGAACTTATTGTATTCAAATGTAATTAAGAAATATCTTGTCTAAAAAAGAATGATTTGATATACATAAAAAAAAATAATAATAAATAAAGATAGTGATTATTCAAGCTTAGTTGTGATAAATGCATCATCATGCTATTCCACTCAGCCCTACCTTCACTATGGTCTTCTCAGCCATCTACGCGGTATCGAAAGCTGTTAAAGTTCCAATACCTTCATCTACGCCAGTGGTTCCCAAAGTGGTTCGTATGGACCCCCTGTATCATTCAGGGGGTCTGGGAAAAATTTTAATTGATTTAGGGGTCCCTGAACAATGTCAGCGGGTCCGCGCAAGGTTTAATATAAAATAATAAAATTGTGATCCATTTTTATTATTATGGAAATTTAAATAAATAAAGTAGTAGCAATTTTTTTACATGAGTAAAATATAAATATAGGTGGGTGCTTAAAATACAGTATGTTACTTAAGTACTGAGCGTTATATAATACCTTTTGTGAGTCAACATTGACAAAACTTATTTCCACTGATTTGCCACTTATAGTATCAGTGGTGTGTGTAATTTAACTTTAACTAACGTTAAGGGATTAGTTATAGTACTAACAATGTAGTAATCCGATAACATTAGTTTTAGTCAAATTTTATTTTTTGCATTTTTACACAGATAGTGTACTTTTGAATTTGTACATTTGTACGTAAGTGTATTTGAATAAAACTGATCTTTTTTGAAAAAATTATATATATTACATTTTTAAGTTAAGGGATTACTTTTTTATTAAAAACTTCAGAAAAGATAAAAATTTTGTTAATACAGATGGTTTTTTGAGAGAAGTTAATTATTGAGAATTATATTTTATTCAAAAATAACATGAAATTTTATCCTTACATCAAATAATTAATTCAAAAGGGCTTAATTGCAGCATTCCATTGAAAAGTTTATTAATTAACAGTGGTTTGTTGCAAATAAAATATTTGATATACAAATTTTCTTGTATCCATTTTTGGCCTTTTTAACTGATAACAGTATGAGTGAGCCGAAGAAAAAATGCTGACAGTACAGTGTTGAATATCTGAAGTATGGCTTTATTTCATCACCAGGAAATAGTACTTTACGTATGTGTCTTGCATGTAATAAAAGTATGTCAGATGATTCATTGAAACCTTCTAAGCTTAAGGAACATATAATGAAAATCCATAGTGACAAAAAAGATAAGGATTTAATTTTCAAACAGCCAAAGAAAAATATTTGAAAACACCATCACTGCAACAACTCGTAGTGACAACGTCTTAGCGAGATGATGATGAACTGCGTGCTTCTTATAACATTTCTTTATTGATTGCAAAGTCTGGAAAGCTGTACTCTATTGTTGAAGAACTTATTTTATTAGCTGAAAGTGAGATAATATGCACCATGTTGCACAAACCAGCTTTCAACATTATAAAAAGTATTTCACTGAGTAATAGTAGAAAGAAGGATTGACGAAATACCTCAGTGAGTAGAAAATTTTTTATGTGAGTACTTAAAAATATCTGAATTTTCTATACAGATTGACGAGTCCACTTTACCAGGAAATGAAGCTGTACTTTTAGCTTATGTGAGATTTGTAAAAGAAGGAAAATTTTGCCAAATTTTTGCTAAATGTGTGGAAACCAATAATAAAGGTTAAACATTATCAGTCATTATTTACTGAATTAAAAAGGTATTTCAATGTAAAAGCTATGCCTTTGACTAATATCATTTCTGTTACTATTCACGGTTCTCCAGCAATAGTAGGAAGATATCGAGGTTTTCTGGCATTCTTAAACAGGGTTCGTATGGTCTTTAAGAGTCCTTAAGTTTTTTTGGAATCGATTTTTGGTCCTTAAAACTCCTTAATTTCGGCCAAAATTGGCAGAAGGTCCTTAATTTTAATAATCTAAAATTTCTGTCTGTTTTTACGACTGCCATTTTGAGTGTGAATTAGCATTTTGCAGCAATATTTTTGGCGATTCATTGACAAATATGGTTATTTTTTGAATGGGTTCATGAGATATAATTTGTTCCTCTTTGTAATATACAGGGTTCGTAGCGGTCCTTATAAGTGCTTATAAGTCCTTATATTTGAAAATAAAATATAAAGGCCCTTATAGGTGCTTACTTTTTCTTTAAAGCGCTTTTTTTTTTTTTTTTTTTTTTTTTTTTTTTTTTTTTTTTTTTTTAAATGCTTATTTTTTGCTTTTAGTGCTTTTTTTTTTAAATGAAAGCACATTTTTTCCCCGTAGCAAAGCCAAAACTAAATAAACAACTTTTCTTCCTAATATGGAATGTCAGATGGTGAATTTTACTCCTGGAAATAGCTTTTCCCCCTTTTTCTGCATTAACATTACCTTTGATGTACACGGAGAAAACAGACAGGTGCCCGCGTTTCTGTTGGTCAGAGAATTGCGAAAGCAGTTGAAAATTCCGGTACATTCGGCTTTCTTTTCCTCCCATCCAAATACTACCACACGTTTGAATTTCTATCAAGATCTTAATAATTTGCATTCTTGTTCCACTTGGTCAGTTCATATCCGTGTTTATTATGATCGTTATGCTTATATTATAAGCATATGTATGGATGTTTATAATAACATAGTTGCAGTAACTGCTGAAGTATAGTAAACTGTGTTAAAACACAACAAAAATGGTTGTGTTTTAACACAGATTAGCTTTCTAAGGAATAATATTCAGAATGGCTTAAATAAAGAAAAAATAATTGAATAGTCAAAATAATTTCATTTTTTTGGCCAATACATTATACAGTACGAAGGTTGGGAGGTTCTCCCATTTTTCCGTAAAGTCTCGAATATTGAAACTGTTATAGTTCGCTGCAAAACAAGCAACGAACTCTTTTTTTTTTTTTTTTTTTTTTTTTTGTCACTTTCCAATCTGGATTGAATAGGACTAAAAGTTTCTGCGGTCCCTATACCCAAACCAAGAAGAATGATTCCTATTCTGGAAATTTAGCGCAGTCTGTTAAAAATCAGAATGAAAACACCCCAGATTGGTAAGTCTCTTTCTTTTCCTTTCTTTAGTTCTTTATTCTCCCAATACCGGCAGCTGTTGAATCCGATTGCATAATATCATGTAGGGAAAAATTACGGCGCACGTATTGCGCAATAACGTTTGCGATATTTTGCAGAGATAATTAATTTTGATGTTCGGTCCCAGATTTTCTATCCCCCCTCCACTCCTCTTTTTCAAGTTATGCTCCACTGTCCGAATATTCGCCAATTTTCAGTATGGGGGTAGTTTTAAGCTTTTACTGTTAAGGATGGACTGCATGAAGCAAATTTCTGTCTTCTGATTTCAGAAATGTTCCCTTTTTACTTAAATTACTTGCTTGCAATATCGTTAAGGAAAAACTATATAGGATGAAAATTTAGAAATGTCAGAATTTAGATTTAAATTAGTTAAATATCAATATGAAGTGGGAAAATAAATTGTATTTATTATTATTCCAAGCGAATAGAATAAATGCCTTATTGTTATTATTTCCTCTATTTTGAACTGAAATTCATCATTAAATCTTGTAATATAGTTTAGTTCTGCATAGTTTTTTTTTTTTTTCCTCTCATTGTAAAATAGTTCTGTAAATTGAACTGTTATTTAAAATTTTAAAAAAAAAAGTAATTTTTCCATGGTTGGGTAATGTTTATTCTCTATTAATAAATACTGTATTTCTCATATTTTAAATTACAAGTCTAATTTTAAGGTTATGCAGTTGTGTATAATGTAATTAAATAGGTGCTTATTTTTTTTCTTAAAATGTGCTTGAAAAGTGCTTATAGGTGCTTACTTTTTTAACCAAAATGTGGCTATGAACCCTGAATATAACTGGTGGGATACTCTTTCTCAGCAAGAAGTGAAACATGAGAATTTCGAAATTATTTCATTTTTTGTAAAGAAGAGCTCTCAAACAACTTTCTGCTTTTGTGGATGTTAATTCTTTTATTAAATAGTTCTAAATTTGGTGACTTATCAGCATTTTGGCGATTTTAAGATCGGTTTCTATGGAAAATTTTTAATTCCGAACTCTGGGAAATTTTTGGTGACTTTTTTAGAACATTGTAACATTGATAAATTTCATTAAAATAATGGCAATGTATTGAAATATATTTTAAGAAATAACATTAAAATAAAGCATTTTATTTTTCACTGTCATATTATAAAGTTCCATTTTGGCCGCATATTATACAATGTTTTGAATGTGAAAAATAAGCAAGGTATAATGTTATAAAGCACAATTTACGAAACAGTTTTTAGCAAAATCAAAATAGCTATGTAATTAATTAGAAATGCCTTTTTAATTTTTTCATGGTAAGAGTTTTTCCCCAGTTCAGTCAGTTTTCTTTTTCGCTACTTTCCACTAGACACCAGCATGGAAAATATCAAAAATGCTTCTAATATTATCATATGGACAGGCATTATAGAAAGAAATTGTGTTATTAATAAAGAAATTGAAAACTGGCAATTCAAAAGATTCATCTAATATGTCTTAATGCATCATACACAGGGCTGGCGCTAGGCATTTTGCCACCTGAAGAAGTCTCTGTGGATCCTAAATTCTGCTGTCTGGTGCCTTTCTAGA